TGCTACTGCAGCTGTCAAAAGCCGTGCATACACTGTACATCTGCAGGACTGAGGCCACGGTAGTCCTCTAATCTTGGCAGCGCAGACAAGCCACAGATATGTGTAACTGTCATGATATAGTAGCGGCTATACGGTGTTGTATATGATTAGATATGAGTATACACGCTGCGCAAGGGGTCGCACAGTAGACAAAAAACTATGCACCATTACACACAAAATAAAATTGCAAGCCAGATGTTGTGTGTGCGGACTGGGTCGCCGAGGTCTCCGCCTTCGACTGCCGCCCAGTCCTCTCAGCACTGCGCCACCACGAACCCCTCTGCAGGTGGTGGGCCCACAGGAGGGACTGCCCACGTCATCCCTTCGGGCTGAGCCCGGCCGGGCCCCGTGGGCTAAGGCCCGGCCACCAGGCGCTCGCATACGAGCCCCGACCCCAGGCCTGGCTCCAGGGTGGGGCCCCGGCTGCACCATGCCGGGCGACGTCACTTGTCTATTTATTGTGCTGTCCATGGTGGTTTTTGGACCGCTCTTCGTCTGACTCGTCACCTGAGACCTGTCTGCCATGGGAGACCCTACCAGGGGCATGAAGCCCCAGACAGCATAGCTCCCAGGATTATCCGAGTACTCAAACTCCCCCACCACGTTAAGGTGGCAATCCAGGGGGGACTTGCTGTTTGCAGACTATGTTGTCCTGTTGGCCCCAACGAACCAGGACCTGCAGCATACACTGGGACGGTTTGCAGCCGAGTGTGAAGCGGCTGGGATGAGAATCAGCACCTCCAAATCCAAGGCCATGGTGCTCTACCGGAAAAAGGTGCCTTGCCCTCTGCAGGTGGGTGGAGAGGTCCTTCCTCAAGTGGAGGAGTTCAAGTTTCTCGGGGGCCTTGTTCACGAGTGAGGGAAGAATGGAGCGTGAGATTGACAGGCGGATCGGTGCAGCGTGCGCAGTGATGCGGTCGCTGTATTGGACCGTTGTGGTAAAGAGGGAGCTGAGCCGAAAGGCAAAGCTCTCAATTTACCGGTCAATCTTTGTTCCCTCCCTCACCTATGGTCATGAGCTGTGGGTAATGACCGAAAGAACGAGATCGCGGATACAAGCGGTCGAAATGAGCTTCCTCCGCAGAGTGGCTGGCCCTTAGAGATAGGGTGAGGAGCTCAGTCACACGGGAGGAGCTCGGAGTAGAGCCGCTGCTTCTACACGTCGAGAGGAACCAGTTGAGGTGGCTCGGGCATCTGTTCCGGATGCCTCCTGGACGCCTCCCTGGGGAGGTGCTTCGGGCACGTCCCACCGGGAGGAGGCCCCGGGGAAGACCTAGGACACACTATGTCTCTCAGCTGGCCTGGGAACGCCTTGGGGTCCCCCCGGACGAGCTGGAGGAAGTGTGTGTGGATAGGGAAGTCTGGGCGTCTCTGCTTAGACTGCTGCCCCCGCGACCCGGCAACGGATAAAGCGTAAGAAAATGGATGGATGGATGGATAAAATTGCAAAACAGCAAGGTTGCGAAAGGTGAAGCTTGACATAGCGAGAGACGACTGTATAAAAAATCTCTGCAAAGAACGCTCTCATCTCCCTCATCTCTCGCTCTGAAATTCAGATTGCTATTTCTTTCCATTGAAATAGGACCGTGCCATGCCCCGATGCTCTCGTATTAATAACAGATGGATGGAAATGTAATTAAAACACACTGTGACCTGTGTGTGACAGTAATGCTGGAGCTTACTCTGCGGTGATGTCTGCAGAGATCTGGGGAACGGCTAAAGCACAGACTGATGAGAAGCAATCAAACATTCATATAGGAAAGGAAGTGGTAATAGGCTGGGGTTTAACTCTTTCATTGCTAGTATAGGGGAAAAATAAGAAAAGAAAATCCTGGAGTGGGGGGTTGAAGTAATAATAGAATAGAATATATTTAGAATATGTGTAAATAAATGGACTAAGACAGGTGTGTATGTCCTTTTTCACCCAGAGAGCTACTTTCCCGGGATGATATAGGTAGAGAGCTACTCCTTTAAGCGGCCTTGGGAAAAAATTGTGAAATATTGGTTTGAACAAGCCTGGTATTTGGTAGTCATGACAAACATTGAAAATGAATCATACAATCTGAAATATTAATCATGCAATTTGATTTGTTCATTTCTAAATTCTACCTACATCGAGCTACCTGGAAGGAGGTGGCGAGCTACTGGTGGCTCCTGAGCTGCAGGTTGGAGACCCTGCAGCTCGAAGGTATTGAAGGTATTTGGACACTGGTGGCAAAGCACACATTCCTACTTTCCGGTGTTTATGTGAATAGCGGAAAGAAACGAGGAAGTGTTGGGAAAGCCCATGGACCAGACCAGGGCAAACCGCGGGCTGGGGGCCACATGCGGCCTAATTCATATTTCTATACGGCCCCCGGACCCTTTCCAGTAATCTTTGTCAAAAATCTATACTACTCAGCCCTCTTATATTTGGATCCAGTTCTTATGTGCTTTGAAAATTACATAACCCAAAATATAATTATATTTCCGTTACATTAAAATATTACACATAATATACAGTATCTTGCAAAAAAGAGCCTATATTTCAACCTTTTTAACATGTTTGCACACTGTCTTTTTGCACAACCTGAGTCACTCTATCTATGCTAAACATGAGACTCTACTCATGTTCTCTGCTCTCAATACAAACTGATGCATTCTGGGAGGATTCCACCGTGCAAAGGCAACATGTTAAAAACTCTTTTGGGCCTCAGTCCATACAACTGCTCATTAATATCAGGGCATTGTGCAATTATTTCAACCTGTTTATGTGTGTATTGTCTGTGTTTTATGTTATGTCTGTATATGTGGGTGCTACAGACCCTCCCTGCTCCAAGACACATTTATCCTCTGGGAGACAACAAAAACAATGCATGTGTTTGAGGACTTACACAAACTTAATGCATGTGTTTGTATTTCTCTGTCAGTTGCTTTCACACAAGCGTTGGCGAGTTGAGTTCCCCAAACAATAGAAGCCATTTGATGGTTCCAAAGTGAGAGCCTGTAATTTCAAGACGCAAACCATCTGTCAAAGACCATCTGACCTGTCAAAGAAGACTTCCTTTGGTTACAGAAGACGTCCCAATGGTATAAAGGAAAACGGTGAAAACAATCTGAGAAAGCCACACTGCAAAAAATTATAAGATATGAGGTAATAAACGTTCAAATCGACTGGCTTTTATCTTAATTTGAGTACATTCTGATTGTCTTAAAACCAGATTGGCCAAAGGGACAAAGCCATTTAGTCTTATTTCAGGACTGTTGCTTTATTTTCTCAATCAAAGAGAGACATGTCTTGTATCTTTTACGTAAAATAATATAATTTTGCTTGTCCCATTGGCGAATCTTAGACAGTCAAAATATGCTCAAAATAAGATACATTTTCCAAATGTGATTATTTTTGACTTATTTCTTGACCCATTTTGTAGTGAACATGATGAACAAAGTAGGATGGGAAAAAAATTACATAGGGCCAACTTATTACTGGCCTGGCCTTAGCCATCCGTACACTCCTGTCAATCATCATTTGTAACGTCTGGGTCTGGTCCCTGTGTTAGCGATTACATCAGTTGAATTCCATCCGACCAATCAGCGAGGGTGGGAGGCGGGTGTTGTAGTTAGTTGCGTGTGACGTCAAGAGTTTGCGCCGAATGGGCAGGTTGCAGTTTGACAATGGCGAAGAATGCGATAGAACCAGACCAGATTACTTTACTATCAAGAAATTGAAGCTGGAGCAAGATGAATGTTTAGCCAATGTCATTGCTGGCAAAGATTGTGGCGCTACTCCCCACGGGCTCCGTTAGCGGCAAAGGAGATGGCTAGGCTAAATACTAAATGCTAAAGACGCATTACATACGTCATGGGAAACTCGGATCCAATAGTTTCAATCTGCAAAAGGAGATAATGGTACGACCAGGCTAACTTATTACAGCAAATAGAGTAAAACATTATGGACTCCATATGAGCCCTTTGAAGCAGATTTTTTCATGGTTACTTTAATAATAATTTTACGCCAATCTCAGAAGACAGCAGAAGTCAATACAACATTTCTCTTCTCTGCGGGGGGTAAAACTGGTAGATCTATAGCAACACAGGACTTTGCATATAAAAGAATAGTGAGCCTCAGAACGAAAGATTACCTCACATATTGAAATTCATTCCGGTAAAAGCACCTTTTTGGTCAAACAGGAAGTGCACACAGGTTTTTCTTCTTGGGCTTGTAGTTACCATAAAACTAGTTAGCTTTCGTTCCGGGAATTGGTATAGTTTAACGCCCATGGCACTTGACTACAATTTATGCCAGTTTTCTCAAGTTTGTTGTTTTTTGCTTACGTTTATTTTGTTACTTTCTGGCCGGACATAAGCAGCAACTACAAATAATTTTTTTTAAATGATGTAAAAGACAAAATAAGAGAATAAACACGATTTATCTTGTAGAATCAATAGCTGAACTGCCGGATTTTCTTTGAATATGAAGACGTCTTGGAGAGATTCCATAACTCAGCATCACTTTCTGTATCGGTACCAGGACACTCAACAAGCAACATCTGCCCCTTATGGCCCAATGGCTCTTGATTCTCTGATCTGTGTTGGCGAATTCAAATTCCTCTGAGATAACAGCTGTTGAGGTTTAAGGATAAACAAGAATAATTTGAATTGACTTGAATCTTTATCACTCGCTGCACCTGGACTGGTTGGACTTATGTAAAAGCAATACACATATTTACATGGGGATCTCTCTGAGCGAAAAACCATATCTCGTGTACAATTGTGAAATGACTGCATTGTCGTTTCTTTGGTGTTTTATTTATTTTTTAATTGTAATTATTGTATTTATTAGATTTTTTAGATTTTGTATTTATTTTTATTTATTTTATTTATTTTATTTATTTTATTTATTTTATTTATTTTATTTATTTTATTTATTTTATTTTAATTATATTATATATTTTTTTTAATGTTATTTATTGTATGTTGTGTTATGTTCTGGGGCAGTGGTACTCACAGCCCGGGACCTCGGTGAGCTCCTCCAGCGGTGGCACAGTCTCCAGCGTGTTGGCGTACTTCTTTGCAGCCTGTCTCATCACGTGCCTCGCTTCGATTTCCTTTTTTGTTCTCGGGATTCGACATTTGAAGATGCAGCACAATGTGATGACTGCAAGAAATGAGACGAGGACAAAAAGTTTAATCCTGACACACGCAAGAAACATGAAAGCACAAATAATCCATAGTTTTAACAGAAAAATGAAGGCACAACAAAACTCAATTCGTGATTTTTCCTATGACTTATTTTTTTCTTGGTTATTTGTGAATAATAACAATGCATGTGTTCGTATTTCTATTTTTGACAATGGCAGCACAAACACGATGTAGACAAAACCAAAACAAGACACACACACTACCAGATGTAAAGACATTTTTATATACAATTTAAAGCATTGGTCCCATCATGCAGCTTGACTTGACTGTGATTGGAAATTGTTTTTCCATGGTTGTGTATTTTACAAAGACAAAAACACTTTTATTCTATTCTATTATTTTATTTTCCAACTGGTTCTAAAATAATTTGGTTCTTTCACTAGTTTTCACATGCTGTCCCTGTGCTTCTCAGAGTCCCAGCAGGAGGCCAGTCCCTGTGCTCCTCAGAGTCCCAGCAGGAGGCCAGTCCCTGTGCTTCTCAGAGTCCCAGCAGGAGGCCAGTCCCTGTGCTTCTCAGAGTCCCAGCAGGAGGCCAGTCCCTGTGCTCCTCAGAGTCCCAGCAGGAGGCCAGTCCCTGTGCTCCTCAGAGTCCCAGCAGGAGGCCAGTCCCTGTGCTTCTCAGAGTCCCAGCAGGAGGCCAGTCCCTGTGCTTCTCAGAGTCCCAGCAGGAGGCCAGTCCCTTTACTATCCAACATACTCAAACTTGTACTGCTTAACGCCTCAATTCCTACATTAGGTCTTTCCTCTCCACAGATCTGATTTGTTACGTCACCTGTGAATGTCAAAATAAGGCCACCCAAAGCAGTATATTTGCAATTTTAACAATATATTTACAAATGTGTGGCATTTAACCTCTAAATCGCTAAAACAGAGACAAATATTTTGTCATTTCTTTGAACAAATCAGACGTCATACCTGAGACATAGCATACAGTAAATATTCATTCCCATTTAAAAAGCAAAAAATACACTTTTCAAGCTGCTCTCAATCAGCTTCTTCGGGAAGGACAAAAGCTGGAAGACATTCTCGAGTGTTTGGCCTAATTTTCTGTTTTGCAGTTGTTCCAGTGCCAGAGAGAGTTTTTACTGTTTTGATCAAGTTGGAAGTTGCAGGGATGCAGGACGTGATACAGTTGTTTTGGTTGCTTCTGTTTTAATACAGGGACTTTACGGAGACACAATTGGAAGCAGATAACAGAACCGAAATGTGCTTTTGTGTTTCGCCGAGAGATAGAGCCGCACTCGTCTTACGCTCGGCTAAGTTTATTCATGAACAATCTCCAGCTATTTTGATTTGTGTACTTTTTGCTTTAAATAGATGTTTATATGAGATGTCTGGGAGTGAATACAATACAGTAAGCGTAATAAAAAGCCAGGCAGGAGTCTGAGCAAAGATCTTATTCCGACTATAGTTTGAAGAAAGTTTGAATAAGTTTGACTCTTTTTCAATAGGTCGTGTTCATGTTGCAATTTGTGGTACCTAGGACGAAAGGGCACGGTCAGGATCTACGATTGTCGCCACGTTCGTCGCCACAGGGGTGTGAAAACGGCTCACAGTCACATGAACGTGTTTTTCGCAAACGTGCCAGAGCAACTGTGCTGTAGTACAACGCTTGGTCCAGCTGGTGGCGCTAATACTAACTCCAGTGTCTACCTCGTTGTCCGAGTTAAGTTTCCATTTCTCTTCCTGTTTACATTCTGCCACTGTAGCTAACAACTCGAGTACGGATCGCGTTGTTTAGGGAAAGACACATCTCACACTTGTCCACATTGCTCTGATGCAAAGTGCTAACCCTGACCCTAACCCAGGATCTTCTTGCTGAGAGGCGAGAGTTCAGTTCAGTTCAGTTTATTTATTTGCCATTTGCAGTAAAAAACCACATTGGAATACATTAGCAAAAGTCCACAGTGTGCACAGACAAATACAGACATAAAACAACATTAAAAGACAGAAATAAAACAAATAAAACAGTAAACAAATGTCACTGTGAAATCGATCGACTAAAACAGTTTCAAAACAAGTGCAAATCATTAAAGTGCTCTGTTCACACTGATAACAGCTTGTGGATAAAAACTGTTAGCATAACGAGATGTCCTGCATCTCAGAGAGCGATATGTTCTGCCAGAGGGAAGAAGCTGGAACATGGCTTTCCCAGGGTGGCCAGAAGAGTCATTAACAATCCTAAGAGCTTTGTTTCAGAATCAGAATCAGAATCATTTTTATTGCCACGTAAGTAACAGGAGGTCACAGACTTGGAAATTGCTTTGGCTCAGTGCAACAGTCAGAGAGAGAGAATAAAAATAAGAATAAAAAACACTTCTAAAGAATAAATTTAAATTTAAAATAGAGTTACAGTTACTATTTACAATATACAAGTGCACATGGTGCACACAATGTAAGGTGACAGCAGTACAGTGAAGTAAAGTGACGTATGATGGGCAGTAAAGTGACTTTATAAAGGGCGGGGGGACAGGTTAAGAAGTGTTCAAGAGTCCAACAGCAGAGGGGAAGAAACTGTTCTTGTGGCGGGAGGTTCTAGTCCTGATGGACCGCAGCCTCCTGCCTGAGGGGAGTGGTTGGAATAGTCCATGTGCAGGGTGAGAGGGGTCGGCTGTGATACGACCAGCCCGGCCTCGAGCTCGGGCGACGTACAGGTCCTGCAGCGATGGAAGGCTGCGGCCGATCACTTCCTCTGCAGAGCGCACAATGCGCTGTAGTCTCTGTTTGTCCCTGACTGTGGCTCCAGCGAACCACACGGTGATGGAGGAGGTGAGGATGGACTCGATGATGGCCGTGTAGAACTGCACCAACATCTGTGCAGGCAGCTTGGCTTTCCTGAGCTGCCGCAGGAAGTACATCCTCTGCTGGGCCTTCTTGATGAGGGAGCTGATGGTTGGCTCCCACTTGAGGTCCTGGGTGATGGTGGTGCCCAGGAAACGGAAGGACTCCACAGAGGTGATGGGGGAGTCCATCACGGAGGGTGGGGGCGGGGGGACAGTGCTCTTCCTGAAGTCCACAATCATCTCCACTGTCTTCTGGGCGTTCAGCTCCAGGTTGTTACCACTGCACCAGGACACCAGCCGGTCCACCTCCCTCGTGTCCTTTTTTAAAAGTCTGGATTTATAAAGAACCTCCAGAACAGGAAGCTCACAGCCCACGGTCCTCTTTGCAGAGCGGAGCACCTTGTTGCGACCCACTCTGCCACTGTGCCGCCATAATAATGTAATAAGGGTGTAATGATGTTATAAGCGTCTTTGAAAAGCGCTATATAAAACCAATGTATTATTATTAGAAGTGTGTGACTGTGTATTGATTGTTTTTGATATTTTTTGTGTTTTCTGGTACGCAGTCACCTACAATTCTACAGCCTTTGTACAGCCATTTTCAGCAACGTGTGTCCTCAGATTGCAAAATGTACACCATGTTGTCTTTTTATTTAATTTTGTGAGTTAGATGCATGAGGATTTAAGGACAGTGATAATCCAGACCCTTTATGAACTTTTATGCACATTTATGAAAATTGGTACATCCCGCTTCCCTATATATGGACCACAGATAGTTATGTTCGTTTTATGATTGCTTTTCTGATTCTAATAGTTTCACTCTCTAATCTGGTCTGTTCCATTCTCTCAGCCCTTCGAGGCGACTGCTGTGGGAATAGCGCTGTAAAAATAAATTGAGTTGAGGTTTGAAGTTGTCTGCTTTTGACTGACACTATAGCATCCGGCAGCACAAGCAGGACGTCATCACCAGCTTTGAGTGGGTCATTCTGGGAGCAGTGGCGTTTGATTGATGGCTTTATCATGTTCGACTTTGATAATACAAACGCAGAGCTATGTATGTGTAATTTCCGCTCTGAGTACAAAGTTATGCCCTCTGACTTGAATACTGCAGAGTAAAAGTTTTAGAGTCGTCAATGCGGCAAAACTTTTTGACTGTAGTTTATATATTCAGCAAACATGATTTACACATTTTGACTTTTTGAGATTTGAACTTCAACATTGTTCCCTCATTACACACAGAGCAGGAGTTCTTTTTAGATCCATCCATACAGATTCATGCTCCTGTCAATCACGTCGCGAAGTTAAAATGAAGTTGTAAAAGAAACAAAGAAATCCATCACCTCCCTCTGGTTGTAATTTAGGGAGTGTTCTGGAAAAAAAAGTCTATGTATTTCTCTGTTCCTTCCCTTCCACCACCTGTCCAGATCCTCCCAACACCAGCTAATTGCCAACCCACATAAAAGCCCTCGGCTCAGACCAGGCCCCGGTCCCCTCCTGGGTCCGGTCGATGGAGCTCATTTTTTGGTTAGAGACTTCTCTTTTAATGTTACTTTTGTATAATTGCACAGTAAAATCAATTACAGTTACGTTCTGGACCACTGCTTCCCCTCTGTTATTATTGAGCCATTATCCTAGGGCTCTGCTGGTAGCACAGGGAGTTACAGGCAGAAGGTATTTTTAACCCTTGAGGCTTGTTTCACCCAGACAGATAGACGGATAGATAGACAGAGACACATACAGACATTTAACACACTAGGCTTAGAATGTTCTTTTGATAAGACAAAAACCTTTAAAGAAGCTAATACTGCTAAATTACCTGCTTACACACACACACACAAATCCAAATGAAATAGCATCTGGATTTCGTACAAAATTACCATTAAACAATGTGTTTTTATTTTTTTACCTAAAAGCATTAAATTCACAAATGTCTACTGTTGCCTGAAGCCCCCACTGAAAGACCAAGGCTGTTTCACCGCAGACGGAGCGGCCATCTGCCTGTGGACACCCCACCTCGTCCTTGGTGCTATGAACATTGGGTGGCAGCGAGCCCCCGACCCAGAAATTGACTGATAAAGGGGTTGAAAATGAATGAATAAAAGAAATGAATACAAAAAGAACGCACTTCAGTTTGTAATAATTTAGAATTATTCATTTGGGGTAAATTATATATGTAACTCAAAAACACTTACAAAGATTAAGGCCTCGGCATCTGGAGCAATTAGCAACAGGGAAAGATTAAAATGGTTGAAAATATCCATATGTTGATCGAATTGTATCCTTTGACTTATGAACACCCACATAGCTCCCAGAACAGAGGCAAACAACAGAAAAGTGCTCCATATTGATAATAGTAATTTATTTTTGTCTTTCTCAGGCAATTTATACAAACAAAACTCGAGTGGCGATGAAGTGAAAGAAGGCCGTAAGGTGATCCACGCGACACTCGGAAAGCTCTCGAGCGGAGAGTGACTGGTGTCGAAAGTGTCTGCGATCTCAGGAGCAGACATGAAGAGAGCTTTTAGAGGGTCAAGTCCACAAGAGAAGGACCAGAGAGAGGCCGGATCGTTCACTCTTTGCGCTGGACAGCTGTGAGTATGAGTGGGGTGAACAAAATGAGTCCAGCTGCTCGGATTGAAACTAAATTGGATGAAAATGCAACAAGGCTTATGTAACCCAGGTTATTTTGGTGATATTTTTGTAATTTTATTTTCTTGTAAAAGTTATGTTTTTGCTGAATTTTGATTTTTCCTATGCCCTGTGAAGGCAGCGGACCTGTAGATACAGCGAGAGAGCTAGTGTAAAAAGTTTCACCTCTTCTCCGGGAGTTGAAGGAGAAAGGTCGCTAGTTTTGGACTCTGGAAATGTATTTTGTAAGATAAAAAAAGATGAATGCTTGAGTCCTGTGATGTCTTAAGCCATAGAGTGAGATATGTTTTTGGAAGAATATCCTGGTGAGTGTTAAATGTGAAGTTTAGCAGATATACTTTTTTTGTCAACCAACTGTGTCGATGCACTTTGAACTATAAAACCAGTCGGGATATGTTTTGTTGATGTTTTAAAATGTTAATGCTAGTGTGATGTTAGCTGTGGAAAATGTAAGCTAGCGCACCCGCACGTGGGTTTATAACATGAGCAATACACGAGTTACACGCCTGTGCATTTACTTTTCCACTGGTCACTTTTATTTTTTTTATTTACATGTATGAACAAAGGATAGATGATACAATTTTATTTTACACAGACAGTAATTGATCTGCATCTTTTGTGCAGGCTGGTTTTTTTTGTAGAGACAATCATCTAGAGACTGAGCGGAGCTATCCACGGACTGGATTTCGGCGGAGATGAGTTCACGAGACCTTCAGGTTCTATTGGCCACCTGTTTCCAAGGAGGGTGGTAGGACACAAACCGGTTTCCTTGAGGAGATCCTATTTTTTTTATTGAGATCTCAAAGCATTTTTTTTTTGGTTCAAGCTTGATACCACAACTAAACAATCTGGTGCATCAGAACAAAAAAGGTTAACTGAACAATAACCAACAAACAACTACTGAATACATTCTACTGAAATGGACAGTGTGAACGAATGCAACCAAAGTAACTGATACATTGTCAATGCTGTTTTGTTTTTTGTTTCATGTTAATGGCCATGTTTATGTGGATTCTAATAGTTTTTCTCTTTAACATTGAATATTTGAACGGATTTTTTTTTAAAGAATACATACCTTCTTTGTTCATATTCATACAGTTGTCGGGGTCTCTTATTGTGGTTGGAGGTTTCATTTTACTCTTTATAACCTAGAGTTGTCATCGCCAATCTCCTTACGAATCTAAGCTAGTAGAACCCTAAATTGTGTAGACATAGACCAGATTGATATAGATTCAGATTTTTCCGGACTACATCAGTTAAAGGGTTACACTTAGTTTTGTAGACCGGGTTTAATGGTGTTTACTTCGATTATTGAGTATTGCGTTCAGGCTTCAATGTTTATGGTAAAATAAATGTTGCAGTTGTTTTCTTGATACATTTATGCCCGGAGCCCGACTTTAACTCATTGACTGCTAGCTGTTTTTGATGATTTCACTGATTTTCAAGACCCACAGAATATTATGTGCTATATCTATGAGAAATATGAAACCAGATTCTGAAAGACTGGACGGTCTACTTTCATCAGCAAAAATAAGTTTCTTTCTAGCAAGTTTTATTCTCCTGTAATCGAGGCGGCACGGTGGCTGAGTGGATAGCACTCTCGCTTCTCAGTAAGAAGGTCCTGGGTTTGAATCCCGATCGGAACAGAGCCTTTCTGAGTGGGTTTCCCCTACCACTAAAAACATGCAAAATAGGTATGAATGTCAATTAGAGAGTGAATGGATGGTGTTGATTGGAGCTGATGGTCCAGTGTATTCTGGACTCGCTTCTGTCATCACCGTGGTGGAATGATTGGAACAATATCTGAACTCTGAACATTGTAAAGCAATTCTTCTACAATGAGCAGTTTAACGGAGAAACTAATTCTTCCTTTTTCTACTATTATTAAAGAATGAGAAGATTGTCCAATATTCCTCCGAAATTGGCTAAATTGGGTTTGGAACTACTACTTTACGTACTCTCAATGTTGCTTTAGGCTGAGGTTAAGCCCATCCAATCACAGCAGTCACAACAAGTTCACGTTCTCTCTGTGGTAGTTGTAGCAAAGTTGTTGTCCAAAACTATTGATGTGATGATGCATTTTATTCTCAATTTTCTTATCACACAAAAGTCATTCAGCCGGTTTAGCCCCGCACCTATTGCCATGTTTTCTATTAGTCCACCACTTTTTTCCTCTTTGATTGGGCTTTCTGTGCTCGAGCATATTGCAATTTACAAAGATGCCAAGAGCAAAAACTGCATTCTCCTTAAGTTTTTTGGGGGTGTCTTGCTCTCGCGCACAGGTTAACTTAATGAGCACAAAAATGGTTTTGGGGCGTGCTCGCTTCGTTCTTTTCTCCCTCTCCTCTCGAAGGACTGTGGACATCCGTCTTTGTGTCTCCCCCCTGAATGTTTATAAAGAACCTATCTCACTGGAACACATACAATATTGCAAACTGCATGACGCTGATCTTTTTCTGTAAAATATTGCCACACGACCGCCGCCATTGTTAACAAGGCAAACTCAAAACTCAGAGTTTTTGTCGTCTAAACAGAACTGTTATCTGTAATTGTTTTTCTTGATGTGTGTACCTGTCATTGTAATGTAATGTTATCTGTCTGTTGTGTTTGTGTGTAACTTTGCTGCCTCTTGTACTCCCTTGAAAAAGAGGTTTTTAGTCTCAATAAGATAAGATTCTTCCTGGTTAAATGAAATAAAATAATGACATTGATCGATACCGATGTTCAGCCGATGCATCCCGACTACAATAAAACATAATCTATGACTTTAGCATAACAAAGAATCAAATTTAAATCTCCAACTTAATGTACCAAACTCAAAAGCTGAAAACTTTTGAACAAGCCTCAATTTGACTTCGCAACCACAGCCCATCGTGTGATAATAACCTTAACATTTGCTTTGCTTACTCACTTCGTATATATATAAATATCCCACAATGCATCTTCATACTTCAGTTCAATATAGCGAGATCACACACACTGATCAATATTTAAGCCACGGTAAGCTGCGGGTTATTTCTCCAGGCAGCTTTCCAAATGAATAGTTTGCAACACTCACCGACTGCCAGACCGAACATGGAGAAGATGCCGATGACCTGCCACAAGCGAAGGCCCCAGAACACCACCGTCTCCGAAGTCACCGGGTCGGGCTTCTTCGGCGGGTCGGTCGGAAGGAGCTGCCGATGGGTAAAAAAGGCAAAGGTTTTTCCTAATCAATGTCTTACAGTAACACAAGGAAAGCCAATTAGGTTTTTGAGAAAAGAACATGCCTTTACAGTCGTACCTCGGTATATCGCGGTTCATCTTTCGCAACTTTTTTTGCGGTCAATTTTGTTTGAATATTTCTCATGCGCTGTATGTGTACTCCAGCAACAATATATACAACATCATCTAACGCTAGCATAACATGACATTAATCTTTATTAAAACTCAGGACAATCCCTTTTTGCTCAACACCAATCAGGCCTCCTGATTAAAAAAATAAGGATAATATTTTTTTTTACATAACATAAGTTAATCAATGTCATGTGAAAATTTGAATCTTTTTGCAGTCACTTAAATGATTCTGGTTTCTCCTATTGAGCGTTGTTTCTTGAATTATATATGTACCTGTAAAAAATACGCTGTAAAACTGCTCAAATAAAACTACTACTACTACGACAAAAGGGACCATTTTGATCTCCTTGGCTGTTTATGTGTGACTGTAAGCAGCTACTTTTTCCTGTTTGTAGATCTGTGTGGTTTATATAGCAATTCTGCTATTACATGTATTTTTATTGTGGTAGAGTTGTCAGCGCAGAGTTTACGGACTTCTTATTTTGACTCCATCAAGTTTTAGTCACTACACTTTAGTCACTTTACTTGATTATTGTAAAAATAGAGGAAGGTCAAGTCAAGGAAGCTAACCTTGTACTGTAGCTGTTAAACACCATCCATCCATCCATCCATTTTCTACCCTTTAATCCATTTCTGGGTCAGGGGGGTGACAATCAGAGATGCCACCCAAGTCTCATAGCACCAGCCCCTCTTAAACACCTCTGCATTAAATCCTGTTTGATTCAGATTCATTTTTTTTTGCCATTTGCAGTAAAACCACATTGGAATACATTTGCAAAAGTCCCCAGAATGCACAAGACACACATAACACGAGGTTAAAAGTACAGTAATAAAAAGTGCTGGAAACGATTGACATTGTGAGATCGATCAATACTTTTGTACGGTACACATTTTTTGAACCAACAGAAAGAGTTATACTGTCTTTATACTTTATATTGTTTACTTTGGCTGGGCTTTTGTAGCATAAATATGAAATGAAGGCTAAATACTGAGGATATCTTGCAAGGCAGCTAACAGAGACAATGAAAAATGACTCATGATTCTTATTCATGACAGCAGCAGCCATCCATCTCTCTGGAGTGGGCCATTTTGAGGACCAAAATAAAAGATCGAGTGTGTGTGTTTTGGATCGATGTCTCGTCTCAGTGTTTGCTAAGCATGGCTGCGGGTGAAGATTTAGCCTGGATTTGTGCTTTGTTTACAATGTGTTTGGCTAGGACGTGCCGCTCTGACTGCATGGAAACTTGACAAACAGAAAAAGCATTGTAAAGCCTTCTATTCACAACATTTCACCCAGTACTGAAAGTTTGCAACCAGTTTTACAGTGTTTATACTGAGAGAGACCAGAGTGAGGGACCAGGGTGAGGGGCCAGAGAGAGAGAGACCAGAGAGAGGCAATAGAGAGAGGCCAGAGTGAGAGATATCAGAGAGAGAGCTTGGAGAGAGGCTAGAGAGAGAGATCAGAGAGAGACCAGAGACAGACCTGAGAGAGAGACCAGAGTGAGAGACCAGAGAGAGGTCAGAGACTTGAGAGAGAGACCAGAGACCTGAGCGAGGCCAGAGAGAAAGACCATGAGAGAGACTATAGAGAGACCGGAGAGAGGCCAGAGGGAGAGAGATCAGAGAGAGAGGCCAGAGAGAGGTAAGAGAGATAAATCAGAGAGAGACCAGAGAGAGACCAGGGAGAGAGACCAGAGTGAGGGACCAGGGTGAGGGGGCAGAGACAGAGAGAGCAGAGAGAGATCAGAGAGAGAGAGACCAGAGTGAGAGATATCAGAGAGAGAATAGAGAGAGATATCAGAGAGAGAGTAGAGAGAGATATCAGAGAGAGAGGCCAAAGAGAGGCGGGAGGGAGGCTAGAGAGAGAGACCAGAGAAAGACCTGAGAGAAAGACCAGAGTGAGAGACCGGAGAGAGGTCAGAGACTTGAGAGAGAGACCAGAGACCTGAGCGAGGCCAGAGAGAAAGACCATAGAGAGAGGCCAGAGGGAGAGTGATCAGAGCGAGAGGCCAGAGAGAGGTAGGAGAGAGAGATCAGAGAGAGAGACCAGAGTGAGGGACAAGAGAGAGAGGCCAGAGTGAGGGACCAGAGAGAGAGAGAGACCAATGAGAGGCTAGAGACCATAGAGAGACCAGAGAGACCTGAGAGAGTGACCAGAGACCATAGAGAGACCAGAGAGAGACCAGAGCGAGACTATTGTAAAGCCTCTATTCACAACATTTCACCTCTGGATATTACAAGACAGGGTGTGATAGTTAAGGCAAGCAGTTGTAAAGAACGTAAATTTCCTGAGAAATTGGAGCCAACACTTTTGTTATTCAAGGCAGAAAACAGCTCAGTATTTAAAGATATATAGGAGGATGTTCTACTTCCGGGTGGATCATTAAGGCCCTAACCCACACGTAGCCGGGTATCTGCTAAACCGCAGATATTTTTTCTTCGTTTGCACCTGTCATCCACATGACAACGCATCATAAACGAATATATAAAAAAACTCCGGGCAAAGCTGAGATTTTTGAAAACTCTGTTTATGCATTTGCGTGTAAACAGAGATAAATGGAGTTTTTCGTTTTCGCACGTCACATAATGCACCCAAAACAACAACAAACAACACGTGCGACCTCTGATCACTGAGGAAGAATGGATCTAAAAACTGTTCGCTGCTGCAGCAGTTCACAGCAGCGAACATCCTCGCTCCACATCAGAGAGCAGCAAAGCGATCACGGGGACTAACGCTCGGAAACAGCCAAAACAGGAGCTAAACCAGGACTAAACCAGGGCTGAGGACGGGGGTCAGTGCTTGTAAACATACGTCTTAACCCCTGAGTTTCTTCTGTGACTGTAAAAGTGCCGCTACAGAAGCACTGGCGTCTGCATCAAAGTTCCGCCCACTTCTGTGTTTTTCCCCTGACGCAGGACATCAGAGTGATTGAAAACGCAGATGTTCGGTTTTGTGTGGATGCAAATCATTTTATAGACGGAGGGGGGGAAATAATCGGTTTAAAAAAATACCCGGCTAGGTGTGGATATGGCCCAAGACTATTGGTCTTCCCAATTGTCAATCATTCTCGTGATCCGTGCTCGTCATATAAGACCAGAGAGTTTTGTTAAAAAAGTGGAGAGGGCGGTTCTTTTCTTAAAATTAGGGAAAATCCTCCAATATACCTTTTTAAGTACAGGTTTTGCCATAATAGAACAAGATTGAATCAAGCCGCAAGCTGCATCAAACAACCTTCCGCAAGCGGCATTAAACGGCTCTTGCTTGCAGGCCACACTGTCTCGGACCTTAAGCTGTAAATAGATGGACATTGCTAACACACCTGCCCTGCACCGCCTCTCAGCAAGAAGGTTCTGGGTTCATATCCAGGGCCTTTCTGAGTGAAGTTTGTGTCTGCGTAGGTTTCCTCCGGGTACTTCGGTTTCCCCTACCACTAAAAACATGTGCAATAGTTCAGGGTGAATGAGTGTGTGTTTGTGAGTGCGAATGTTGGACAACGGATGGAAATTATCCCATGGCTACACTCCGGAGTGATGTGTTCATTAACATGTACTGTCCCAACCAAATAAACAATAAATAAATAATTTCTTGAAGACCTCAACCCTCATGGAATGGGGACAGGAAGAATGTTGGATGATTTGAGGCGGGACGGGGCATGACTCCAGGGAGTGTTGAAAATGTCAGTGAAAACCAAAGTCTGCTCATTAGCGCAGTGCCTCAGTGTGTGTGAGGGGAAACCCTGTCTGTGTCGAATCTGGCCATTATTTTCAGTTTTTAGCTCATTGTTTTGTTGTTTTCCCGTAATTATTGTTTCAAATTATCCTGGACTGGTGATAGACTGGTTCAGAGAAATAGCTCAGCTTGGAGTAAGTGCTAGTTACTTTAGCAACACACTGTTTACTTGCAGTAATTAGTATTTAGTTTTGCTGTATTTCATTTGTATTAACCAATTTTAGCATATGTCAAAGATCAAAACATTAAGAATCACTACATTTTAATAAAAATATGCTCTAGGAGTTTTAGTAGTTTCAGAATTCTAGTCCTAGTGTTAAAAAAGGTTTAGCATTCTGTGTGCGAACAGGGAGCAGATAGAAGTTTTGTACTGATATCTGTGTAGCATCGGACTGCTCTCCTTACTGCAAAAAAATGATTATATAAAAGGTAATAATTGCTTGAATCAAGTGTTTTTTATCTTAATTTGAGAAAATTCCGACTGTCAAGATTTGCCAATGGGACAACGCCATTTACCTATGGGTTGGAGAACTTCCAGTATCTTTTTGAAACAAGATCATTTTGCTCTGTCCCATTGGTAAGTATTTTTTTAAGTCAGTCAAAATGTAGTAAAATGAAGATACATTTAGCCAAATTTGAGCCATTCTTGACTTATTTTTCATCACTTTTTGCAGTGCAGGAAGTAAAAATCCTTTATTTTTTGTGTCAATCAATGACTTTGACTTTGATCAAACGTGAAAATATTTCCCCAATTTTGACATGTTTTATCCTTCTTTATCGACTGAAAACATCAATGAAAAGTTCCCACGGCTTCAAAACTCTTCTGGGAAAAAGAATGAACTTATTACTTCCAGAACCAGACCCGGAGACTGCAAAGTGGGCCAGACCTGCTGCTCCATGAATGGTAAATATATATTCAGCAACTTTTCCCTTCAGTTGTGGTGGATAACCGTCTTCCATATTGTAATCCCTTAAGCACCGCTCCAAAGAGATCCAAAAAAAATACCCACACGTGTGATAGTTATAAATATATTTTGATTACGTAAAGTTAAGTCTTTTTCTCCAGAGGGAAGCCCCGCAATCGGATGAGATCCTAAGCTCCAAACAACGTAATTGGGACAACGACAAAAAAAAAAATTGTCTTGGCTTTTGAGAATCCGCTGCAGTGAGTTGTTGGAGATTGCGGTAATTTTTTAATGGCGGGAAATGGACGACTGGAAGAGATATTTTTGTGACTTTTTGTTTGTGAAGATGATAAGACGTGATTCTGTGAGCCTCAACAAAACCGGTTTTATTTAGAGCAGCAGCAGCAGCTCGATGAAATGCAATGTGAGGCAGGCTGCTGAATTATTCATGGTATTGTGTTAATAATATTACATAAAAGACCAAGGATAAGGATGAGATGAACCAGCGAGCCTGAAGATTGTGGTAACATTTGTAACGGTCAATTGGCTACAGGCCTCAGACATGTTGTTTATTCTGCTATGTATTTAACTTGAATATAATACACTTACATTCAAAGTTCATGCAAATATTGGATCCGAAATGTATCTTTAACATAGAAGGGAATCCGAGGCACCCTTGACAGTAAAAAACAGGGTTGAGTAACGTGTTTTTTTTTCTTGAGGGCATGATAGATTGCAGGGTAGTTTAAATTTAATCAGTACCTACAGAAAATGTAAAGAAATACAGGAAATGCAGATTAATGCCTAATTTCAGAAGATGTCTATATGTGGGGGTAATCCACCGGACACACACTTATCGACTCCACATAAACATGATCGGAAATACACTTGTAAAAGGTGTATATAGTCACAAAACAAATAAATAATAATAATAATGCAACGATTTTATACAGCGCTTTTCTGGACCCTCAAAGACGCGTCACATGTCATCATTCATTCACTCCAAACACGGTGGTTATAAACAACCAATGCATGTTTAATGTTTCTGTCAGACAGATGTCAAAGGAAAAGTGCTTGTTCCTTTGACATCTTTGACATATCTTTATAATGATCTCAAATGTGTTTCACAAAACATGCGGTTTTGATTCAGATGGGTATAATCCTGCAGCTCAATAGCTCTTGGTGTGTCCTGTACCAGAGACACATCAGCTCTTGAATTGTCCTCACCCATGAGCATAACCTCCTTTTCACATGACTTCCCTGCACCGGCCCAGATCTTAAACCGTAAGTGTATAATAATAATTAAATGATGACAAATTGGTTGTAGAGTGCCTCGCAAAAGTATTCACTCCCCTTGGATTTTTACCTATTTTGTTACGTTACAGCCTTTAGTTCAATGTTTTTTTTATCTGAATTTCATGTCATCAGAAAACAATAGTCTAAGTTTGTGAAGTGAATTGAGAAAAATATATACATAAAACAATTTTTCAGAAATAAAAAACTGGAAATTGGCATGCACATATGTATTCAACCCCCTCGTTATGAAGGCCATAAAAAGCTCTGGTGCAACAAATTACCTTCAGAAGTCACATAAATAGTGAAATGATGTCCACCTGTGTGCAGTCTAAGTGTCACATGATCTGTCAGTACATATACACACCTTTTTTAAAGGCCTCAGAGGCTGCAACACCTAAGCAAGAGGCACCACTAACCAAATACTGCCGAGAAGATCAAGGAACTCTCCAAACAAGTAAGGGAGAGTGTTGTCGAGAAGTACAAGTCAGGGTTAGGTTATATAAAAAGATCCAAATCTTTGAGGATCCCCAGGAGAACCATCAAATCTCTCATAACCAAATGGAAAGAACATGGCACAACAGCAAACCTGCCAAGAGACGGCTGCCCACCAAAACTCACGGACCGGGCAAGGAGGGCATTAATCAGAGAGGCAGCACAGAGACCTGAGGTAACCCTGGAGGAGCTGCAGAGTTCCACAGCAGAGACTGGAGTAACTGTACATAGGACGACAGTAAGCCATACGCTCCATAGAGTTTGGCTTTGTGGCGGAGTGGCCAGAAGAAAGCAAAAAACAAACTGGCACATTTTGAGTTTTGAAAATGTATGGAGGAAGGTGCTCTGGTCTAAAATTTAACTTTTCGGCCATCAAGGAAAACGATATGTCTGGCGCAAACCCAACACATCACATCACCCAAAGAACACCATCCCCACAGTGAAACATGGTGGTGGCAGCATCATGCTGTGGGGATGTTTTTCAGCAGCCGGGACTGGGAAACTGGTCAGAGTTGAGGGAAAGATGGATGGTGCTAAATACAGGGATATTCTTGAGCAAAACCTGTCCCACTCTGTGCGTGATTTGAGGTTAGGACGGAGGTTCACCTTCCAGCAGGACAATGACCCCAAACACACTGCTAAAGCAACACTTCAGTGGTTTAAGAGGAAACATGTAAATGTATTGGAATGGCCTAGTCAAAGCCCAGACCTCAATCCAACAGAAAATCTGTGGTCAGGCTTAAAGATTGCTGTTCACAAGCGCAAACCATCCAACTTGAAGGAGCTGGAGCAGTTTTGCAAGGAGGAATGGGCAAACATCCCAGTGGTAAGATGTGGCAAGCTCATAGAGACTTATCCAAAGCGACTTGGAGCTGTGATTGCCACAAAAGGTGGCTCTACAAAGTATTGACTTTAGGGGGGTGAATAATTATGCACATTGACCTTTTCTGTTATTTTTTCCTATTTGTTGTTTGCTTCACAATAAAAAAAGACAAAATCTTCAAAGTTGTGGGCATGTTCTGTAAATTAACTGATGCAAATCCTCAAACAATCCATGTTAATTCCAGGTTGTGAGGCAACAAAACAAACAAAATGCCAAGGGGGTGAATACTTTTGCCAGGCACTGTATATAGCTCTTTATTGGCATACAGACAGAAGCAAGGCAGCCAGTCTCAGACTGACCAATTCCAACCATTCACACACACCAGACTCATTCAAGGCAATATGGGTGATGTGTCTTGCCTGAGGACACAACAACAGTTTGGCACTTTACAGCCGCAGCCGCCCCACTGTGGCACTTACTGTTCCCAGAGGTCTCCCATCACCGTACTAACCACCGTACTTCACAGCTTCAGAGGTCTGACTATGTATTTAATCACAGGTATATATCATAATAACCTGAAGTGCTGTTGCGCATTATTACTATTGTTAGCTTTTTTGTTTAGTTTGTATGGATGGATGTGTTTCTGCTGCTACTGGACACCTGAATTTTATACAAGGGTCAATAAAGTATCTATAAATCTAATTATTTTGATCTTATCTTTTTATTGTAATTCCCAGTCCTCCTCATTAACCTTTCATGACCCGGACCTGAGTTTGACCTGGACTGCAATCCATAAAATCTTCATTTGAAAAGCACATTTAAAACAGCCTGAGCTTACCAAAGTACAGACAAGTGAATAAAAAACAGCTACAATAAAAACACACACAAACACAGAAATATATACCGTATAGACACATAAAAACTGAAGTCTTGTTTACTTCTACCTGGTATTAAAAGCCAAATAGAAAAAGTATGTCTAAAAAGTACTCAAAAGAGAAGAACATTGACCCGTGTCCCTTTCCGTATACTGGTTTTGGCAATCAAACTATATGTAGATTTTCTTTTTTTCAATAAAACTTAACCAAACTGAAATATGTCCCAACTTTTAATGCCTCTTTTTGAGTGAATACCCATGAATCCTCTTCAACACAGACACATCAGAGTGACTGTTACCACTACGGCTGCTTTTAACACGTCAGTCCCATTGTAACCATCCATTCATAATCATTTCCTCCAATTGAACCATTAGCTTCTCGCTCCTTTGAGTGTCTAAATTGCCAACCGTCACCAATCACGTCACTCTACATAATCATGCCTTTTACTTTCATACGACAAAATAATGAGATCACGTTATCGGCCCGATTCAGTTTTTCTTTTAGTTACCCAACCACACGTGTATGAACTTGACTTGACCGTAAGCTCCTCCCTGTTACACAAATGTCGCTCTAGATCCTTTACTCTTACAACATCGGCGTCCTGGAATAGACATAGACACGTACATTTTTACGCACTTTAATCCGTGGCTTACCTCCGGATCCGGTATTTGTGCGACCGCATTGGAGAATCGGTGGGACAGCGGCAGAAGCAGAAGTATTCCCCGGTCGCGTAGAGCCAAAATGCCCACCATAATGCGCTCCCGGCTTCCACCCTACCCCCTATCTTCTCCTCCTTTCCTCTCGCCTCCTCTCCTATGGCTTCCTCTATATCTGGTGCCCACACACACGGCAATTACAATGACCCAATGTGATTAACGGTCACTTTGGGGGCTCGTCCACTGTCGTATATCCCCTCCCATGCACGGATGCAGCAGGTCCCGGTAAAAAGCGTGGAAAGAATGCGGATGGTTCAATTCCAAATGCTGTTTTTTGTTTTTTTTTTACAACGGGGCGAGTCAGCCTTGTGTAGTTTAGATGCATTAACTATTCAACAAGGTGCTAGTGGTGTAGTTTACAACCTGCTGCTGCGACCGGAGCTATTGTGGCTAACGCAGAGCAGAGGGGAGGGGAGGGGGAGGAGGGGGATGGGAAGAGTCGGGACAGTCAGAGGGATCCTTGCGTCATGCTAACCCGTGTGGTTGTGTAATAGAAATAGTCGCTTTTAATATTATTTTGTAAAGCCTAATTGTGTGGCAGGAGGGGACAACATTGCATTGCTGTGTTGGTTAATTGGCATAAAAGCAAAAACACAAATGGAAAAAGAAGAACACTTTCTGTTGCATGAATCAAATTTGACCTGGACCAAGGAAATCCAAAAGTTCCATTCCAAAAAAAAAATTATTTGCTTACAATAAATGCTAATATCCCTCTCCTGTCCTGTCCCTGTGTCTACGGGCTCAGAGCGCAGGACACTTTTACCTGACCCACAAAAAAAGATGATTTAAATCAGAAATATATTGTTACAAAATCCTTTTGAGGCCCAGTCTTTTAGTCTTCAGGTTTTAGCTTTTTGAGCCAAACTCTCTTTTTTTATATAAATAATAATAATATTTGTTGTACAGATCCTCGCTGTACCTGTTTTGTTTTGTTCTTCATTCTCTCGCTGCCTTTGTAAGTGGGTACAGTGTTTTCTGTATGGCGCAGAAATTCATATCTTTTAAGGCTCAAAATAAAATATTCAAATTCAAAAAGTTCAGCTACTTTGAAAACACAGTTAACATCTAATATTGATAATCTGATGAACAACAAACCATTTAAATAGTACAAAAGCACATCACTTTAGTACAAGAGTTTTAGAGTTATTCAAACTCATTTACAGCATTATTATTGATAAAGCTTCTCCAATTTTCTTATACAGTATACAGTACAAAAGACCCTTGTAAGGGTCTTGTAAGGGTCTTAAGTAATGCCCAATCTTTGTCTTGTGTTTCGCAAAGGATTACAAAAGGCTTCACATGAGGTCAAATTATTTTTGTTAAGCCTAAAATCCTCTCAAAAGGATTCACACAGTGGTTGATTTTCTGACAGCAGATTAGAAAATAAAACAGATAAAGTCCATAGGAATTAAGTACATGTCACAGTAAAACAAGGAACAGCACTGAAAAAAGTTGTGAAAAATAATTACAAAACGGCTCAAAAACGCAAAATGTGTCTTAATTTTTGCAAGATTTGCAAATGGGACACGCAAAATAATGTCTCCCCTAAAAAGAAAAAAATGCAACAATTCTGGAAATAAGACTAAATGGCTTTGTCCCATTGGAAAATCTTGTTTTAAGGCAGTCAGAATGAATTCAAATTAAGATAAAAACTACCTCATATTTTATCATATTTTATCAATTTTTTTGCAGCGTGTGCACTTTTTGGAGATGTCACATACTGTGATCTGTTCAAATATGTAGTTAAATTATGTATGTAAATTATTATGTATTTATACTCTAAATAACATCATCTTATTATTATTATTTTTAGATTGTTGCTTTAATGTTATTTTGATTGTGAAATACCGTGCGAGCTACCATGACAACGCATTTTCCCTTTTGTGGATCAATACAGTCTGTCTACGTCCAAGTCTAAACAGTTGCTAAATTAATTGTGGCTTTGCTAAACTAACAATAACTCCATAGAACCAAGCTGAATTGAGTTGTTCTCTGTTGAGTTGCGTCTGACCTGGAGCAGAGGCAGCAGTGAAGGTCAGTGGACTTGGTGGAGGTGGTGGGTCTCCTCTGATGGAACACGTGTGACATTTTGTTCTTTGCTTTCCGCTGAGTTAAATCCTATTTGATAGACGCCCTGGGACGTTGACACCATCAGGAGAGAAAAAGAGAGAGAGAGAGAGAGGACATAAGTATTTCAAAGTCTGTCAAAAAATCACACATATTTCTGTTTGAATGAATTAAATATTAGCAGATATTAAAACGGTTTCATTATTCATATGGTTTGATTGGTTGTTGGACGTTGGGACTCTCTGGAGAGGCATTGGGGGGGAAAATTAGGTGTTTTTTTAAAGTTATTATTTCTCTTTTTGCCCAGTCGACTGCTCCCATAAATTTTTAATACCGGTTTTCCTTTTTATTGGATTTTTCTAATAACAACAATGACGCATAGGAGTCAAAGATGACAAAGGTGGTAAAAGTATAAACAAGGACTAAAGGAGAAAGATATGTCTATACGCACAGACACGCATACAGATATAGACACAGACACGCATACAGATATAGACACAGACACGCATACAGATATAGACACAGACACACACAAACATACACACAGACACAGACACGCTTCCATACACAGACAAACACACATACAGATACAGACACACGCACAGACACAGATACACACACATAGACACAGACATACACGCACACAGACATGCATACATACACAGACAAACACACATACAGACACATGCAGAGACACAGGAACACACAGACACATACACATAGACACAGACACACACAGACATACAAACACACAGACACAGACACGCATACATACACAGACAAACACACATACAGATACAGACACAGACACACGCACACACAGATACATGTGCACCCACACACATAGACAGACACACACACACAGACAAACTCACGCGCACACACACACACACACAGACACACAGACATAGACAGACACACACACATAGACAAACTCACGCACACACACACATACATAGACACACACACGCACACTCAGACATCTGAAGAAAAAAAAGGGAAAAAGTAGACAATGAAAGTTCAACAAAAAATGATAATAATAAGTTACAAATATTTGCTGCGGCCGGAATAAAGGACCTTTTGTAGAAATCTTTTGTGTTCAGCCTGAAACTGGGCAGTTAATGAGTCCGTCACTGATGAGGTCCTCGGGGTCTCAGGGACTCGAGGAACCATCGTATTTTCTCTGAAGCTTTGAAAACTCTTTTGATCAGCAGCAAACTTGAACAGACAGAAGGTAGACCCACAACCCGCTGTTATTGTGGCTGATTGAGAGTGAGATGCCAGAAACATGCAGGGACTGTAGAGAAGACTGTAGAGGAGACTGTAGAGTAGACTGTAGAGAAGACTGTAGAGTAGACTGTAGAGCAGACTGTAGCGTAGACTGTAGAGCAGACTGTAGAGCAGACTGTAGTGAAGACTGTAGAGTAGACTGTAGAGTAGACTGTAGAGCAAACTGTAGAGTAGACTGTAGTGAAGACTGTAGAGTAGACTGTGGAGTAGACTGTAGAGTAGACTGTAGAGCAGACTGTAGAGAAGACTGTAGAGTAGACTGTAGAGCAGACTGTAGCGTAGACTGTAGAGCAGACTGTAGAGCAGACTGTAGTGAAGACTGTAGAGTAGACTGTAGAGTAGACTGTAGAGCAAACTGTAGAGTAGACTGTAGTTAAGACTGTAGAGTAGACTGTGGAGTAGACTGTAGAGCAAACTGTAGAGTAGACTGTAGAGCAGACTGTTGAGTAGACTGTAGAGTAGACTGTAGAGTAGACTGTAGAGTAGACTGTAGAGAAGACTGTAGAGAAGACTGTAGAGCAGACTGTAGAGTAGACTGTAGAGTAGACTGTGGAATGGACTGTGGAATGGACTGTAGAGTAGACTGTAGAGAAGACTGTAGAGCAGACTGTAGAGCAGACTGGCAGAGCAGACGGGCGGCACGGTGGCTGAGTGGATAGCACTCTCGCCTCTCAGCAAGAAGGTCCTGGGTTCGAATCCCGGTCGGACCAGGGCCTTTCTGAGTGGAGTTTGCATGTTCTCCCCGTGTCTGCGTAGGTTTCCTCCGGGTACTCCGGTTTCCCCTACCGCTAAAAATATGTAAAATAGTTCTGGCATGCGCCTCCTGTACTGGCGACCCCGCTCCCATCTCTGTGTGGACAAGTGCCCAAAAAAATAACAATTGTAAACCGCTTTGAGACTCAGCTCTGCAGTGAAAAGGCGGTATATAAATAATTACTTACTTACTTACTACTACTTACTGTAGAGTAGACTGTGGAATGGACTGTATAGTAGACTGTAGAGTAGACTGTAGAGTAGACTGTAGAGTAGACTGTAGAGCAGACTGTAGAGTAGACTGTAGAGCAGACTGTTTAGTAGACTGTAGAGCGGACTGTAGAGTAGAGTAGACTGTAGAGAAGACTGTAGAGTAGACTGTAGAGTAGACTGTAGAGCAAACTGTAGAGCAGACTGTTGAGTAGACTGTAGAGCAGACTGTAGAGCACACTGTAGAGCAGACTGTAGAGAAGACTGTAGAGTAGACTGTAGAGAAGACTGTAGAGTAGACTGTAGAGCAAACTGTTGAGTAGACTGTTGAGTAGACTGTAGAGCAGACTGTAGAGCAGACTGTAGAGCAGACTGTAGAGTAGACTGTAGAGTAGACTGTAGAGCAGACTGTAGAGCAGACTGTAGAGCAGACTGTAGACTGTAGAGTAGACTGTAGAGTAGATTGTAGAGAAGACTGTAGAGTAGATTGTAGAGCAGACTACAAATGCAAAAAATAATGAATGAATGAATTAAATAAATAAAACTCCAAGAAAAAAGAAAAAAAAACGAACTAAAATCAAAATTAAACTAAGAAACCATGGAAAACAGATGAACAAAGACAACGGACCAGCAACAAGGGGAGAGGAGCACAGGTACATGTAGACGCAAGGAAGACACAGGTACATACAGACACAGAGAGACACAGGTACATATAGACACAGAGAGACACAGAGACACAGGTACATACAGACACAGAGAGACACAGGTACATTTAGACACAGAGACACAGGTACATATGGACACAGAGAGATATACAGTAGGTATATATAAACACAGAGAGACACAGGTAAAGACACAGAGACACAGGTACATACAGACACAGAGAGACACAGGTACATATAGACACAGAGAGACACAGGTACATACAGACACCGACAGACACAGGTACATTTAGACACAGAGACACAGGTACATATGGACACAGAGAGACATACAGTAGGTACATATAAACACAGAGAGAGACACAGGTAAAGACACAGAGACACAGGTACATACAGACACAGAGAGACACAGGTACATACAGACACCGACAGACACAGGTACATTTAGACACAGAGACACAGGTACATATGGACACAGAGAGACATACAGTAGGTACATATAAACACAGAGAGACACAGGTAAAGACACAGAGACACAGGTGAAACACAGGAGGGCTGGGCAGACCGTATACAGGGTTACAAGTTCCGTCATCTCCGTTGAAACTATATCTGAACTCGCATTGATGACCTTGGTCTGTGAAATGCGCTATATACATAAAGATGACTTACTTACGGCGGACGTGTGAAGGATTTATGCACCAGCGATGACACACAGCCACTCACCTGCACTTCCAGCTGCGACTGCAAGTCCTCCTCAAGTCCATTTATAAGTGAGTATTATATTATGAAGTGCAGGGGGATTCGAAGAGAGAAGATGAGTTTGGTTTCACACGGATGAGTCGAATGAGATGGAAAGGCCTATTTTTAGCAGACATCTCTCTCGTGTATTTGTAATTTCCTCGTCTCAGTATTGATCTGATGGACTTTTACTCAGTGTTAGTATCAGACTTACTGTACAGGTTGAATTGTCGTTATCGCATAATTGTGTATTTGAGTCCACGGAGCAAAAAAAAACACTTGTATCTTTGACTGGAAACTATTTACTTTTGCCCTCCAGAATCACGGTCACTACAACTGTGGCGCCAACCTGCATGCGAAAGCCAGATCCTGTCCCCTAACCTTGAAGCTATGCAGGGCAGGGCCTGATTAGTACAGTGATGGGAGACCACTGGGAACACCAGGTGCCACAGGAGGGGGCGGCTGTGTCCTTCACCCTCAATGCCTAAAATGAGTTGTGTGTGTGTGTGTGTGTGTGTGTGTGTGTGTGTGTGTGTGTGTGTGTGTGTGTGTGTGTGTGTGTGTGTGTGTGTGTGTGGGAGGGGTCAATGGCACAGACAGGTTGCCTTGCTTCAGTCAGTGTGCCCCAGGGCAGCTGTAGTAGTAATTTATCACCACTGTAGAGAATAATGATTTAGGGCTATAAGTGTCCAAAAAGTGCTTATTAAACCCAGCCATTATTTACTAAAAAGTAATCTGCAACATAACAGTTAAACTTTTTGAAGTAATGGGACCTTTTTTCACCTTTACAGCTTTTATTTTTGTGTTTGTTTTCAAGGCGCCTTGCCTTGAAAACAAACACAAAAATAAAATAAAAACAGTTTGAAGGAAGTCCATACTGAAGTCCATCTTATATTTTTATTTATTTTTTTACATATTTTAAGAAAGGGGTAGGCAACATACGACATATTCTTTCTGATCCTTTTCATTTGTGCGACAAGACTATACAATTATTTGAAATTTAATTGTTATGCGATATGTATATTGTCAAGTCCATAATTCAAATAAAAATATAGAGATGGATACATACATACATACATTCAAAATTAAATAAATAGATATATAGATGGATACATAAAAACATAAATGAATAAATAAACAGTAAAATATATATAATTACATACATTAACACATACATAACTAAATAGAATGACGAGAACGATTTAAGGCGGCGCTAAAATGTCACTTCTCCGATACCGTAAGTGTCACCTGAAGAGATATCAGCTCATTACCCGCGCCCACTTACTGTAAATGAGCGCATTAGGGCCGTCCTGTTTATTTTCTTCTTTTTTAAATATTTTATGCAGATGAGGCCAGAGGCGGTAAATGAATGAAACCCTTACAGTGGCGCAAACTCTTAACTTTTTTTTTTTTTTTGGCGCTCGCAGCTGCCCCATGTACTGACGGCTAACTTTAACCCGCGCGTTTTCTCCGCGTGTTTACCCTTGTCTCTGGAGCCGTCAATGGTTCCGCAAAAAAAGCACCGGGCCAGAACGAGGGAATACCGCGGAGGAGACGGACGCAGAAAGGATCCATTCAAACCTGGAATGACAAATAGGTGAGGCTGTTTATGCATGTGTGTGTTTGCAGAAGTCCGTGTTTGGCTTGGTGGGTTATTGGGCATTTTTGAATAAATCTACACCTCTCTGCGCAATCCGGGCTCCATAAAACAATAATAAATGTGTTTGGGAAAGTGATTTATTTGAATGTGATGACACTGAGTAATCACCTGGGTCAACACGGACAGCTATATAAATCTGGGCTCAAAGACAGCAGCCATGAGAAGGAATTAAGATTTATTTTAAGGATAAATGCTGTGATTGAAAGAGATGCCGTGATCTTGGCTATGGGGAGTTTCGAATGCATAAGTGTGTGTGATTTGGAAGGTGATCTGTGTATTGCCAATTTCGGTTTAAGATTGAAGTATTCTGATATACTGTTAGGTAAGTAAGTAATGTTTGTATGTATAGCGCGTTTAATAGGCTACGGTCAAAGGTGTAGATTGGATTGACTCCGCACACGGTTAGGACAGAAGGGAAACGGCGATAACCTGGAGTAACGAAGGCGGATTATCACCGTTGGTCGACACACACACCGTTATACAACATACTCACACAGGCACAAAACACAGCTACACAACACACACGCACAAAGACACGCAGCACACACACTGGTACACAATACTTAGGTACACGTTCAAATGTGCGATCCATGTTGTGAGACGTGAGCTCAGTAAACATGAGCACAGGCTGAGTGGGAGGGGGGTAGTGGGGGCGATAGCTTCGTGAGTGCAGGGAGGGCGAGCAGAAAGAGCCAAGCCAGTGAGTTAGTGCAGCTTTAATATCATGTCCCAAAAACGTACACTTATTATAACTATATTATTTCGTTTTATGTATTTATTTCAAAGATGCACAAGATAGACAAACAATTATTGGCTGAAAAAAAGTATATACAATATAATATGACTAAACAAGAAAACCAGTCAATCAATAATCAATCATATTTTATTCATAAAGTGTTCATACAAACACATGCAACACAAAGTACTTCACGTTTTGGTTGAAAAAACTTTTCCACATGCCCATGACCCGTCAAACCAACCACTCAGCAGACCCACTCCAAACCACATAGCACACACACACGCACACAAAATGAGTAATATCATGAAAACATATAGGGGTGAGTGCAGATGTAACCAGCTGAAGAATCTGCACAAGGGCCAGAGAGCCGCCTGCAGCCACAGGGGACGACACCAGAGGAGAGGAGGCCCCAGACCACCACCAGGTCCAAGGTCCAGACCTCCACCGGACCCAGAGGAGAGAGGGGGCCCCAGACCTCCACTTGGTCCAGGAGCCAGACCCCCACAGGACCCAGAGGAGAAAAGGGGTCCCAGACCTCCATCAGGTCCAAGAGCCAGACCCCCACAGGACCCAGAGGAGAGAAGGGGTCCCAGACCTCCATCAGGTCCAAGAGCCAGACCCCCACAGGACCCAGAGGAGAGAAGGGGTCCCAGACCTCCATCAGGTCCAAGAGCCAGACCCCCACAGGACCCAGAGGAGAGAAGGGGTCCCAGACCTCCATCAGGTCCAAGAGCCAGACCCCCACAGGACCCAGAGGAGAGAAGGGTCCCCAGACCTCCACTTGGTACAGAAGCCAGACCCCCACAGCCATAGCCAACCACTGCTCCCACTGCAGAGGGCTCTCCCGGAAGAAAAACTAAAACTATACGGTAAAATGTGAATTTATTGTGAGGGGAGGGGAACCAGGACCAAGTGACTGTTAAAACTGGACTTACTTACTTTGTGACTTTGAAGCAGCACTTTCACATGTATGCTTTGCCCTTGCTCTTTCTGCTCCCCTCTCCGCACTCACGAAGCTATCGCCCCCCACTACCCCCCTACCCCCCTCCCACTCATACGCATCGTGTTCTGTTGTTTACGGAGCTGGATCATGGATCTATATTATCTGGATACATCTCTTGTTTTGGCCCAAAAACAAAAGGAAATGTCTGCAGGTATTTTTTGTTGCTAATTTGATAGCATGCCTCAGTGCTAAAGTAGTCTGGTCAGCCTCTCTCCCGGTCCTTCAAATGCTTGACCTGTCTCCGTTCTTGTAGGGACTTTCTTTTGGACGGCTGTTTTGCTGTAAAAGCAGTAACCGATAACGAAGACACAGGAAGTTTCAAGTTTGCCTCCACCATGACGCTCGTTCACCTCAGCTGTTTGTGCGCGCTAACGAGAGACCTGTAGCTTTTCTCAAGAAAGTGGGGGCCAAAAATTCAAAAAATTGATCTAAAATAAAATTACACTCCAGTACAAACCTCTGCTACTTATTCTTCAAAAGGACGTATATCCCAATACACAGATATGGACTGAATTTTCCTAATGAATATAAAAATAAAGTGAGCTAATGCAGCTTTAAGTGCCACACAGCACATTCAGACAAAATGACGCACTATTGGAAGTCTTTATGTGCTGCCCTATCAAATAACTAAAGAAAAGTGTATTATATAAATATAAATTTCGGCTCTTTATTTTTCAAAAAAGACGATAATCACTCTCCGTTATTTGCTCTCAAGTTACGCTATTTTGATCCAAACACAGGAGCCATTTTCCCAAGGAAGTTATGTTATGGCTAATTTAGAATCTGTCCAAACAAAAATGTACGAATCCAAACATTTTTCCTGGCCTGGTGGTGGAGTTATAGCGACCATGACAAGCATTTGCTCCATCAACACAGCTTTCTGACGCACTCGATACGTCCCCACATGGGCACAAAATCAGAAAAGCCACTATCTTTGCCTTCTTCCATCTCCGCAGGATACATTTCAACATTACATCCAGCGTCTTTTACCGTCCCTTTTGGAGCTACGTAGAAAACAAGTTGGTTTTTGTAGCTCCACACACAGGGGCTTCTTCATCTCCTGCAAAAAACGCTTGATATTTTTGTCTTGTGGCGCGTTTACACCAATCCCCCACAGGTCCTGGAAGAAGTACTGCGTTTTTTTCCTGAAAGCCACGGTTAAATTAAGCGTGTAAGCAGAAGGCGAGAGGGAAGGCCGCGTTGGGTGAAAATGAGCTGCGTTTATGTGGCCTTGAGTAGGGGACGGTTGGTAGAACACCTGCTTGAATGTAATTATACCTAAAGAAGGAAAGATGGTGTGATATCAACTATTTTAAAAAACTTAAAGCTGGAGCATGTCATAAAAGTCCATTTCACTAATTCCCCGCTCTCAAAACAGGTTGCTTCTATATCACTAGTTTTCACATGTACAAGTATTTTTGGCCTCTGTCGTCTCTTTAGATCTGAGGTGTCAAACTCATTTTGGTCGGGGGCCAGGAACATAACAGCTGTTTTGATCCAAAAGTATAAAAGTGGTTTACTTTTATTATTATCTTTTCTATTTTAAATTGATTTCATTTATTTTGACATATTAATTGTATTAATTATGAGTTTCGATATTATTTTCTAGTCCTTGGTATCAATTGCAATTGGGCCAAAAAATATGTATCGACGATTTAAAAAAATGTTTGACCTTATTTATTTATATATTAGCATTTTAAATCAGATTCAATTATTTGGTTGTTTTACTGAGACAATAAGCTAAAAAATGAAGAATAACATGCCATAATATCAAGTTACTCACATGTACGCAAAACATTTTTTTTCCCCCAGGTGCCCCCTTGTCCATGCACATAATATAATATAATATTTGAATGTATGACACCTGTGGCCTATATTTAGATTTAGTACATTTTAACCCTTAAGGAATCATAGTTTTGCAGGACGTTAAAGTTACAAAAGGTAGTGCCATGAAACTTGTCTTAGAGAACTGCTAAAATCACAGGGTTAGTGGTAATACAAAAATACAGAAAAGAAGAAGAAGAAGCTCTGACTTTAGCATGATAAAGAAGTATGTATAAAATCTCTAACTTTGGCATAAAAAAGAAGCAAGAAGCAAATCAAATCTCTAGCCTTAGCATAATATAGAAGCAAATCTAAAATCTCCAACCTAAGCATAATGAAGAAGCAAGAGTAAAATACTGTATATTCTTGTGCAAGAAATAGTTGTATATATACATCTGTACATGTTAGCAGCCTGAGGGTATGGGACAAAGCGACTAAGTAAAGCTGTGAAAGATGCCCAGAAATTATGCAGGTAAAAATGATCGCTGAAACCAATCCCTTTGAAAAAGCTACATGCATTAGTCATCTATATTTTAATGCGTACTTCCAGCTTTCGCGGATCACCACCACCTTCCAAAACACTATACATGTTGCGTTACATCCGGTTGAAACCCACTGAATTACTCATTGATAGCCGACTTCCAACAAGGAAACTGTGGCCATTTGAGGGACACATGAATGCACCATTAGTCCATATGTTATGACCATTACCCCCCCCACAGACTGACTGTAAACCAACACAGTCTAAAAGCAGCTAAAAGGGGTCTACGTCCACTCAGGCGTCTATAGACCAGTACAGTGGAGGCTTGTGCAAGGACTAGTGTGCTTAGGCTGTCAACCGCTATTCCCAGTCTGCTGGTTGCAAGTCAGAAGTGATTACCTCTGACATTTAAAAGGACGGTGGAGAGGCCTTGGAGCGAATCGGAGAGGTATCAACCCAGGGGCCCGAGAAACAGTGACCCGTGTTAAGGTCATGGTAGATGTTTGGTTAAGAGAAAACAGGACAGGAAGTATTAAAGGGGAAGTAGGATGTATTATTTTTGGGCCATGGGTAATGAGAATGAGACTTTGATAGTGAGAATGAGACTTTGATAATGAGAATGAGACTTTGATAATGAGAATGAGACTTTGATAATGAGAATGAGACTTTGATAATGAGAATGAGACTTTGATAATGAGAATGAGACTTTGATAATGAGAATGAGACTTTGATAATGAGAATGAGACTTTGATCATGAGAATGAGACTTTGATCATGAGAATGAGACTTTGATAATGAGAATGAGACTTTGATAGTGAGAATGAGACTTTGATAATGAGAATGAGACTTTGATAATGAGAATGAGACTTTGATAAGGAGAATGAGTTTTTAATAATGATGTGTAATGTCTTCGGTAGAATTTATCCGGTGAAACAAGCATCAAGGTTAAATATTGCTTTTGGGCTGCCCTATCACTATTCTACCACCAGAGGGAGGAGAAGAATGGGTCGCATTTTCATCCCAAATTAGAAAATTACCAGCTGCAAACACAGCCATAATTTGCTCTGAGTGTGTACAGTTACGTCATACTGTTACAGGACTGAGACCAGAACCTTTAGATGGTGGCGCAGTGGTTAGCGCTAGGTCCTGGGTTTCGATTCCTCCTTCAGGCCTATCTGTGTGGAGTTTGCATGTTCTCCCTGCGTAGGCTTCCTCCAGGTGTGTCCCCTACCACTAAAAACATGTACAATAGTTCAGGGCGAATGAGTGCGTGTTTGTGAGTGCGACTGTGGGACAACGGATGTATAATATATAAATAAGGAGCGCAGATGTTTGGGTAAGTAAGCTCCGTGGAAAAACAAGTTCAGTTTATCTAAGCACCTTTATTACTGGTGCCAGCTCCTGTTGAGCTTCTCTTTGTATGTATTGTCTTTGCTTGATGGGCCTAACTTTGTCACGACCTTGAAGTGAAGAAGAGACAACCAGCCTCCCTCAGCCCAAAGCATCAATTAGTGCCTCACAGGGCTCATGCTTACAAGTTTGCAAAATATATGCTTTGTAATAACACAAAGACAGCATGTTGTTTACAATATACACAAAACTAGAGTGGTCAGACTGGTTGAAGGTTGAAAGAAAAGATAATTAGAATCAAGTTCTCGGTCGGAATTTTCTGCATGTCAAAGCAGATAGTCTAAAAAAATGTATTTAACTCTGTCAAAATAACTACACTCCATTTGCATATTTCTTGTGCTAGTGGGAAAAAAACATTGAACTAACAAAACGTGACAGTCAAATTTGTGCGAAAATCAGACTTTTGAAGTCCAAGGCCAATCTGCCAGCTCGAATCATCCAGACATACACCAAGGCTAATTCTGTGGGGTGCGAAATGCGAATTATTGGGAAAAGCTGGCTTCCGTGTCAAAAAGATCACGAACATTTCCGCCTCATGTAACGGCGGAGGAGGGTGGGGGGGCGGGGGACTCAGCTGGGCATGAAGCTGAGCAGTGACTAGTGATTGCTTCTGGTTTCCCTCTTCGAACAGTCGCAGAGGCCGCAGGAAGTCACGCTTGGCTTGTTAGATTAAGTCACTGAGGTGCCAGGAGATCAGCTGCAGTGGAGGAGGAGGAGGTAGACGCAAGATGGCTACCCCGCCAGCGCGCCCCTGCGATCTGTCATCTGTGACATCAGTCGTCATACAGTATCAGCGCCAGGGGCTGTGGGCCTGAGATGTGATAATGGGTCATTATTATTGGACGTGTTTAAAGTGGGGGCAGATCAAATGAATGGAGAGGCTGGAGAAGGTTCAAAATATGTGTAGAGTGCAAAAAGTTATGAAAAATAATGTTACTTAATTTGAGCACATTCGGACTGCCTTAAAACCAGATTTGCCAATGGGACATGCATAATGATCTTGTTTTAAAAAGATACAAGAAATGTCTCATTTAGAATGAGAAAATGAATCAACAGTTGAAATAAGTAAATGGCTTTGTCCCATTGACAAATCTATATGGAAAAAACAGATTTTGTTTCCTATTTGAAGACTTTCCAAACTTCTTTCAGTGTAACCATTTAGTTGGTTCACTGCCGTTTTCACCGTGCAATCAAGATGAAACGGATAAAAAGGTGCTGCCCTGAAAACAAGAATGACTGTTTCTGAGAAGCCAGGTCGCTGTATAGTGTCCTGGATCAGGACCTCATGTTGCACTTCTGTTACTTTGGCTCCTTAAAAAGAAAGTCAGTTACTTTACGAATAATGAAGAGATAAAATAATCAAACACAGCAGTTACCAAACCCCCATAGCTTCTGGATTCTATAGTCTATATTCTCCCCCAGTAAACGAGTGGTGGTCATGCAAGAGGAACTGTATTCCACATATTATGGTGGCGCGGTGGCTGAGTAGTTAGCACTCTCGATTCTCAGCAAGAAGGTCCTGGGTTCGAATCCTAGTCGGAATAGGGCCTTTCTGGGTGGAGTTTGCATGTTCTCTCCGTGTCTGCGTAGGTTTCCTCCAGGCACTCCGGTGTCTCCTACCGCCTCCTGCACTGGTGACCCCGCTCCCATCTCTGTGTGGAGTGAGAGGACAAATGCCCAAAAAATAACAATTGTAAACCGCTTTGTGACTCTGATCTGTGAAAGGCAATAAATAAGGATTACTTACTTACTATTATTTTAGAAAATACTTAATTTACATGATAGTACAGGGTCCTTCCAGAATTCCTCAATAGCGGTAGCTTTGATTATTGTGCATGGTATACATTCAAATACAAGTATAATAAAAAACATCTTAGACACCGACACAGATATGTAAAAATCAGGAATCATTTATGGGCAAAAAACTAAATTTTACATTATTTACAACATTAGACAGACATAATAATGTAAAGCTCACACGTCTCATAAGCGTCTCATGTCATTCCAACATATACTCACAATTTAACAATATTCATTCATTCTTTGATAAAAACACTCCCTTCTTCTATAAACCAAATTTGCATCATGTTTTTATCTTGAATTGAGTACATTTTGAATTTTTCACTAAAATTGTCTTATGGGGACAAGCAGTTTAGTCTTATTTCAGGTGCAGATGATATCTATTTCTCATTCCAAAGGAGAAAGTTCTTGTCTCTCTTGAAAAAATGTATTTTTCCTTGTCCCAAAGGCAAAACTTAATAAAAGACAACTAAAGACAGTCAAAATGTACTGAAATGAAGACACATTTTTGCCTTATTTTTGTCACTAGCTTATGTATATGATTAATGTTTCCAGTGAGCTGCATCTGTTTGACAGTTTGGCTAAGGAAGAGATCTCGCTCCACTGGTCTAATGAAAGGCTGCTGGCAAAGGAAGGCACACTATCAAGTAGAATTATCTTAAATATTACTCAAATACAGACATTTTCATAAACAAGTCATCCAAACACTCATTTCAAGCTTCCATAAACGGATATTTGTCTGTACAAAGGGTTGTATTGTTTCGCTGTTACAATAATAAACTGAAAGTGTGTAGTAAAAAGACTGTAGATAAATTTGGATTAATAGCAATTGAGTTTTTCCACTAATCAATAAATATTCCAGTAATTGTTTGATTGTAAACTGTTGAATATACAAACTTGATAACATGGCATTGCTAAAAGTTTAAAAACCCAAATGGAGTAAATGTGTAAATGTCACTTTTTTATGCCTGAGCTCAATATTGTTTGAAAATATTGAGCTGTTCTGCAATGAAAATGTGTTCAAGCTGTATATCACTTCATCTTTTTAGGAGCCAAATCTAGATCCAATTCTCACATTGGCAGGAAGGCGCTGGCTCACTCTAAATTAGTTTGAAAGATAGAAAACAAACCTTGAGGCAAGCTACGGTAAACAGAACGAAACAAAGAAAAACATGGCTTAAAAGTAACACAAATGCAAGACTTAGCATCGGTTGGAGGAGAACAAGGTACGTGTTTGTGGGAGATGTCAAAAAGGGGTATTTTAAGTGAAAATGTGTGGGTAATGGTAGAATCTAATAGAACATGGTTAATAATCTGTTGGTCATATTCCATAGAATCAATAAAGATCATTAAACCATCAGTTCTATAGATTCATCTCAAAATAAACAGGACGTGGGCAACAACTAGTCTATTTATGAAGAGAGTAATAACTAGACTAATCGAATCTCAAAATAATAGTTCATAACAGTTATAGTAAAATAAAGATCCTGATAGGTCCTCAGGTGGCACCTTGAGGTATCCCTGCCATAATGCCGATCTATCGCTTCTCTATCTTTTTTTATCTCACTTTTTTATAGAATTCTTAGCTTAAACTCAGTTCAGATACACCCTTTCCCATGACTTTCAAATGCATCTTTGCACATGCCCTTTATTTCCAGGCAAAAATAACAATCACAGACAAGTGATACGTGTCAAGTCTATTTTGACGGATTGCAAAAGGTCACATACATAAATAAATACAAAATCATGGTATACATAGCCTGCTTTGACACGTCCCTGCCGCGCTGTCATGCGTTGGCATATGGCCCTGCACGAGCCGCTCACTCTGGGTGTAATTTTGTCGCCTCCTCTGCCCCGCTGAGCCTCTGTCCGGCCTCCTTCGCAGACCTCCACTTCATCTCCGCCTCCCTGGAAAGCCACAGCACATGCCGGGCTCAAAACCACTTACAAACAGGGGATTGGACTTGTCAAAACGCCCGGGAGATGTATCGAGTGTGGAGGAGATCCAATATCGGGTTGTGATGCTGTGAACTTTATTCTATTTGTTTGGGTTTATGAGGTTTTTGGTTGAAGTATTACTACTACTGCTGCTGCGACTACTACTACTTTATCATATTTGTTTGGGTTCATGAGATTTTTGGTTGAACTACTACCACTACCACTACTACCATTCTCTCACACACCAAACTCATTCTATCTAGACAATATGGGTGAAGTGTCTTGCCTACGGACACAACAACAGTTTGGCACTTTACAACCAGAGCCGCCCCACTGAAGCACCTTGTTGTTCCCTGAGGTCCTCCATCACATTACTAACCAGGCCCTGCCCTGCTTAGCTTCAGAGGTTAAGACAGGATCTGGCTTTCACACAGGTATGGCCACAAAGTATAAAGTTATGAAAGCATCTAAAGATTCTTGTTATTTACTGATATTGTAACTTCTACTTTTAAGCCGTGAAACAAAAAGTACTAACACTCTGATATGATTCTTTAATAGGCATAGAATAGTACTTTGAAGTAACTAACTTATTCTGGAATTTGATAGAAATAGATATAAACAAGTAATTTTGTCTTTACGATGAGTATGAATTAAAAATTAAATGAATATGCCAATAATTGTGTGGTGTATCTCAATACCATTAGACCCAGTAGCAATCGCACATCCCTTTTCCAGTGCTATTACTGTATGTAGCCGGCCAGCAGATAATGTCGGTTCTCCGTGTTTTTGCCGAAAATGAAAGAGCAGCAAAAGTGAAAAACGGTTTTTGAAGTGGCTGGAAGACAGTAGAAGCCTGAAATGGAACTATGTCTATTGTGCGTACTTAGAGTGGACTTGTATAGAAGAAATTGTATGAAGATTTTTTTATACGTAACTTTTTTTTATACATTTTTTTACTTCACTTTTTTGCTCCATGAGCCACAGCAAATTTCTAGTCTCAGATAAAATAAAGAGTTTGTCAGTTAGCAGGCAGACATAACTGCACAATATATGATCTTAAAGCTTAAAACAAGAGAATGGCTTTGCACATTGCTTTGAGTGAGCGTTTAAATCCAACGGTGAGTGCCACTCCAAAGACTGTTGTTGGCGAAGGGTTGGAGGTTGCTATATAAGAGAATGACGCAAATCTCTGTCATTAAAAAGAAAGATTTTGGGCTTTGGTACATTACACAAAGGTAATGTATCAGACTTGTTAGAGCTGCACTTTATTGACTGCACAATGCATTTCATTTAAGTTAATATCGAATTGGAGAGGTATTATTGTAGTTTATGGATGAGTGTGCGTGGATAAGGAATAAGTTGTGGCGCCACCAGTATATGAAAGCCAGATCCTGTCCAGCCCAATACTTATGACCAATTGGAGACCTCTGGGAGCACCAGGTCCCACAGTGGGGCGGCCGCGGCTGTAAAGTGCCAAATATACCAACCTGTTGTTGTGTCCTTAGACACCTATTTCTTGAAGTTGCCTGGAATGAGTCTTGGGAGTGTGAAAATGATTGTTGGTGGGGCTGATAGAAGCGAGGAAACCAGTATGTTCTGTCAGTGTGCCCCAGGGCAGCTGTGGCTACAGTAGTAGTATATCACCAATGTATATGAAGTCAATGAATAATGACATGTGAAGCGCCTTTGAGTGTCCAAAAAAGCGCGGTATAAGCTTTGAATGAAATATCATTCATATGTTTTTGAATATTGTCACCACTTCTTGATGCTTTCATGAGAATAACTCGAGACGAGCTCTGGAGCTACTGAGCAATAGGTTACAAATTACAGAAATATGCTAAATATTACAAAATGTATGAATCACGAGCCCACAAAGACAAATTACAATTTTTATTAAATTGTAAAAAGTCTTTTCACTTTTTTCTCTATCGTGAGATCAATAAAGTGTCATGGTGTGGATTTTCTTATTTTGGACTTTAGTTTTATTTTGATATCTGTTCTCTGTGCTTTGGTTTTAGTTTGACTTTGACGTCCTGTTTCCCCTGTCTTGATTGTCTGCCCAGCCCTGATGTGTTTCACTTGTCTCTGTCTATAATTACCCTGTGCTCCTCTCCTCTTGTTGCTGGTCCATTGTATTGTCAACTTCTGTTCTGTCCTGTTCCTGATTTTGTGTTCCTGGTTCTGTATTTTGTTTGGATTTTGAGTTTAGTTTTCACCTGATCTTTTATTTCATTAAACCATTATTTTGGCATTCCTGCATTTTGAGTCCTCCATCATCTCACCTCGTGACATAAAGTCTATCTTATCTTATAATAAAGTATAAACAATATCTGTTGTGATAGTAGCAGTACCTCATCTAACAAAATAGCTCTCACCCTTAAATAGAGATAAAATAAGAACAAAATGTTCGCAGGTGCTGAAGGAGTTACTCTCCCATTTTAATCCTGAGAAAGTCACACTCCAGGTGAAGATGTGGAACTCAGAGCCACTTTTGTTTCATGAGGATTTTCCAAGGAATTACAGAGAAATAAGAAATATTTTTCAGTTACCCTCAAACACAACTTAAAACTATAGTTGTTCTCTGGACACAACCTATTTTGGGCATCTCGGCTCAGAGCGAAAGCATGGATGGATGCTTCTACGTCTGCTTTCCATATCCGGCTTGAGACTTTCGATTTGTTTAGAAACTAATCATGAGATATAGATGTGAAATCCTGCACAAAACCCGATCCTGGCCTCTGAATCAGAATCTGGTATTTGATTAAAAATGTCACCGGGCATAGCTGCAGTGCACACAAATCTCTCATGTTTATAAGTTGGTTTGAGCCATTGTTTTTACCTTGAAGTATTTGAACCGTGTCAAGCAGCCGGTGGTTCTCTACGCTGCTTGACACGTAGAGAACCATGTTACATTACGCTGTTAAAGCTGACGGCTCTTGATGTATGGCAAAGGTACATTATGGAGGGAAAAGCTTTTAACGGTGGGCAATGTGTGTCTGCGTCTTACTTGAACTCCATACTGCTCCCCACCGCGGGCAAAACCAGTTTATGACCAAATTTAGACACAGATCTGCAATAAAAGAAGGAAACATTAAAACGTATCTCTGTGGACCGTTGAATAACTGTGGGGCATTACATTAAATAAATTACAAAATGTCTGAGCCAGAGGGAAAGGCTGTAAATATTAGCTTGTAAGAAGAAGTGGCTGTTAATGCACAAGTTACGTATTTATATCTGGGGTCAGAAAACTCAAATTGAGGAACTGTTGGAATGGCTCACATGGAAGAGGCTGTTTGCTTGTAGAAGTCGCCCTCTTCTGGAGAAAGTTGTGTACTGGAGATAGTTGACTGGCTGGACATCACTTCATCCTGCCCAAATAAGAATAGAAGTAATGTGAAAAAGTGACTAATTAAAAATCATAGAGAAAGATTTAAAAAAAAAACATTGGCATTATTTGTTATTGTCAACTATTTCTGACAAACTATTTCTTACTTTTAGTTGACAGAAAAAGGACAAAATCTGTTGTCAAAAAACATACATACTGAGAGCTGATAGCCTAGGTCAGGGTGGTGTTTTTTTTAACTTTTCTATCTGAAGAGGCCAAACATACCTGAATATGAAAACTGTTTTGAGAGTGAGGAACTAATTACATGAATTGTATTAATCCTTTTGTGGTTACAAAGTTAGGTACTCCGATTGGACCTAAATGCATGCAATCACTAATTGTTTTATTCCTAATGATGACTTTGAAAGCAGTTTTTTCAGATTTCTCCTCAAAACTATCATGCAAATATAGGATGTGCTGGACAGATGGCGCTCTGACCTGAAGCTGCTGCAGTTGCCTCTGGAGCTGCTGGATGTGCGCGTCCTTCTCCGCCACCACCTGCCGGAGCTTGTGCACCTGGGAGGGGGACTGGGGTGAGGCTGTGAGGGGGGAGGCCTGGGGGGGAGACAAGGAGGCCGACTCCGTGTCCTGACCCCTCTGCTGCTGGAGACTCAGGCGCTTCAGTACGTCCTGCATCTGAGCCTGCTGCTTCTGTCACAGCGAGAGCACAGCAACTCAAGTTATAGACAAAAACGGTGTACTTTTGGAACTGTATGATAAATGAACAATCGCTGTCAGACTGTACAATAAGTCAGTTTAAGTCACTAATGCACTGCTATTGCCACTCTGTCTTTAATTGTACATAATGTATCCTGAACAGACTATATTTTTTGCCTTTAACATGAGGGCACACTTCTGCCTTTTGCACAATCTGAGTGATCCTACCTTTGCTAAATGTGACATGTAAAGTTCTCCGGTGTGAGATAAATATAGTCTATCTTATGTTATCTTATCTTATACTAAAATAAAATAAAATAAATAATACAATCTCTAACTTTAGCGTAAAAAGAGGAAGGTATAAAGTCTCAATTTTTAGCATTTACAAATATTTACAGACATTTATTATGCAGCTACCCTTTGGCCCAATGGTTCTTCAGTCAAACTCATTGGTGGGATTAAAAAAAATAATGGGGCTGAAAGTATACAAATGGAATTCTTAGTGTAAAGTTGGTTGAATTTCATCTTTTGCATCTTTTGCATCGTACAAATTAGTAGTATTATTAATTTGTATTAAAATTGTCTATTTACCAGGAGAGCATCCACTAGTTCATCGTCGTGCTTCCCCTTGTCCAGCAGAGTGGAAATCTGACTTTTGAGGCTTTTCAGCTCAGAAGACAAAGACTTGTTGCGAGCTTTCGAGGCCTCCATTTTTTTCTTCACCTCCTCATGGTCCTTCATGAGAGCCTCGTAGTCGGCTGAGATTCTCTGCAAACACAACCGTAAGTATCAGTTTAACAAACACCACATCACTCAGTTTACTCTTATGGACAAAGGCAGTGTGGCCGAAATGTCTAATAAATAAATAGATAATGTGTTAAACTGTATATTGTTGCCAATTACATAAGAAATATATAAATAACTGCTACATGACCATACTGTGGTATTGTGAGTATCGTGAGGGAGATTCTCAGGCCTTACCTCAAACATCTCGCGTTTCTCTTTCTCAATGGAGCGGATGTAGTTCAGGTTTCGGTCTTGTGGGGGCGTCTTTTTCAACGAGTCGGGCTCGTCCAGACTCTGGAGGCTGGGGTTTCTGCGCTGTGTGGACTGGTTCAGCTGCTGCTCCAGATCACGGACCTGTGGTGAAAAGTGCACGGTCATGGTGACTCCGACCGGCTCTCAGACTCATACAATAGTAATGAGATGTACAATGTGTGTAATCAAAGGTTCTCTCAAGACAAAAAAAATGCATTTATCCTGTTGGAAATGTACAGAAATTATCCATAATATTATTTTAAAAGTATCAATACCAAAAAACATGTGACAGTGACTTTTTAAAAGGCTAAAGTAAGTGAGTAAGTAAAAGTAAAAGTCAAAATGATTTTGAAGATATTAATTTGAGCAAGTATCAATACTAAAATTAGTCGTTGCATAAACAACCAAATTTGACCTTTTTTAAGCATTTCTTTATATTCTTGTTTAACTAAACCAGGAGATCTTATATACAACCTTATGGACCCATCAACATTATTATTTTATCGTGAAATTTAAACTGTATTGTTCAATAAGTAATTGCTGAGGTATCTAAAGGTATCTAAATTGTATTGAGTCTTTTTTTTTCTTCCAAAATCAGTTGGAAATAAAGAATTTTGAAAACATTGAAATGGATTTAAAAAATGTGTAATATATGTGTCCAAAAATAAATACAGTGGGGAAATTTTAGTGTTGCAGAACACTAGGAATGAGGAGCACACAACAAAAGACAAATGAACAATAACTCTTTACTAAAATACAATAAAAATAGCATAATCAAGAAGAATGTCTAAAATCTCCCACTTTCGCATAATAAAGAAGCAAGTAAGATGCTGTATAGTGCAAAAAAAGTATTTCAATCCACTCTATTTTTCAATATTTGTTATGGCGAAAATGTTATTGACTGTAACAAACCCCTGTTTTTCTATGTTTGTGTTCCAACCGCAAAAACAAACATGAAAAAAGTTTGAGCCCGGCTGCCCTTCTCCATCATACCCTGGTCTGTAGAGCCAGGATCTGCTGCGCCCGGCCCCTGAAGCCCCCAGGACTGCTGAGTAACTGCTGCAGGTTGACCTCCTCTCCCAGTTCGCTGCACACAACCTACACACAATCAGCACATGTAAAAACCAAGGTATTTTCAGGTTTTATCCATGTTAAAATATTGCTCTCATGAAAAATAGATTCATTCACAATAATAATTTTAGGTACTTCTGGCACAAACATGTAACCGTTTATCTATACACTTTTTAATGCACTGTGGCTATTTATGATTTTTCTTACCTTCTGGGCCATCCTCAGCTCCTGCCTGACGGACTGGACCTGGTTGCGATATTCAGAGACTTTGAGGTGAGCAGCGGCCAGTTTGTCCTGAAGAGATTTCACCAGTGGATTTTCCAGCTCCTGAAAACATAAAATAAATATGTCCTAGTATCTTAGAGAGTGGGAAGTGTTGATGTGGCCTGAGCAGATGGGAGCGTTTGTAGTATTATAACAACAACAACAAAATCAGTAACATATTGTTGAGGATTTTTTTAAATGAAGCCAGAAATGCTTTTGAAGCCACCAAAAAACAAGTCATTTGAATTTGTATTTAATTCAGAAAAAAAAAAAAAAAAACCTTGCTTACTGTTGGGATGGAAAATTCTTTACAAAAAAATATGGTTTTGTTGGTGTTTCAATGAAATAATTCTATGAACGAGCACAGACGCAACAAATGATGTTTTAATTATGTTATGGCATTATTTACTACATGTTAAAGTTTCAATATTATTTCTCTTCGGGAATATATTACCGTTCAAAAGCTGTTACTGTTGTAGTAGTCGTTCAATAATTCGTTCAACTTAAAGAATGAGTATATTCACCTTTTGGTCACTTTTGAGTTTAATAAAAGGAAATTCAACAAAAATACATTAAAACTGGGCATTTCCTCCTTTGTGTCTACATTTTGGCCATGGCAACAGTTGCTAAGGAGTTATTTCTGGCTCTTGACTCATAGGGTATTCCCTTTTCAACTTGTTTTTGGGAGTTTAGAGGATTGAATATATATTTATAGTGTCTAATATGAGTATTTGAGTGTTTTGACCATGGCAGAGGAGGATTAAACAGCTCAGAGAAGAGCAGTTGGCTTTTGTTTTGAATATTATACTCAACTTTTTACTTCTTTCCCACTCCATTTCGAGCTGACAAATTGTAAATTGAAATTCATCTGTAGATACATATTGAAATTGTAAATATGGTGAAACTATTGCAAATATTGTTGCTTGCTTGTATATTTATGTTTATATATTTGCATGTGTAAGCACAGGAGGCAACATTTACAAAAGGTCATGTAAACCAAGGTATGTAAATATTGTAAATACTTATGAATGTAAAGCGTATCTCGAATGAATCAATCAATCAATTATATTTGAAATGTCCCCAAACCACCTGAGCTTGGATCTGCAAAGCCACTACCTCTGAATCCTTGACAGACTGAGACTTCACACTCCCAGGGTTTATCAACGCACTTTGCAACTGTAAAAGAGAAGGCAATAAACACTATTTTAATACATTCACTACCATGTCACTCTCAAAACGTGAATAGACAAGTGGAGAAACTAGAGCTGAATCCTTCCTTCTAATCGGACAGGACGTCTCCCGCAGCTCATAACTCTGAAGGCACCTCTTTCTCCAGCTCTCTGATGGCATTACTCTTCTGTTTGGACTTGATCCTCTCGCGCTCCATTTCAGCCGTCAGCTCCCTGTTTTTCTTGGACAGCTCCACGATCTTGGTCGCAGCTACGTCCCCGGCCAGCCCCGCCTTGCCTAAACAAACAGTGTTCAGTTCCATTGGCTGCAGAGGCGCCCAGAGCAAAAGCTTCCCATGTGGGGTGGGTCTCACCGGTGAAAGCCAGCCGCTCCTCCTCTCGTTTCTTCTGGATGTGTTTCATTTCAAAGTCTTTCTCGCTCACCAGCTTTAGCAGTTTTCCGTTCTCGTCTTTGAGCGCCCGGAGCTGGTCCAGCAGTATCTCATTTTCGTTCTTTAATCTGTGGAAAGTGCAGGGATTCTAGTTGGGATATATATGACATGGTTTTGCTTGAATCAGTTTTAGATTCATATAGATCGATAGATAAACTCTGCATACTCCCAATGTTTCTCCTATGACATGTGTCTATTAAGTACTATTTTGATAATCATATAATGTTCTGTTGATTAATCGATTAGTTGTTCAGAACGTAGAGACGATATTTCCTCTCAATATGACGAAGATGAAGTAAAGTCACCGGAAGAAAGTCTAATTTTTAAATAACTGACAATTTTATCATATTAAAAAAATTTACATTTTACTTTCTTTCTTTCTTTGCGAGTTTGTCTGAGTTGAAATAGCAACTCAAACAAATAAATGTGTTGAAGTGAGTGTGAAGAGCATTTTACAATTACTTAACTATCAAAATAGTTGTCAATAATGGAAGAAACTGGATTTGTTGCGATTGATCATTTAGTCAAGTGTCCATCAAACTTATTGTTACATATGAATTTTAATTATTAGAATAGTTTATCCCAAGACAAAAAAACTTTATTCATCAATACATTTCTCTTATAGCCTGGTTTGTGTTGGTGGCCCATGCAGAGAAAACTATACAAGACCAACATTGACAGGTCTTACTTGGTCGAGTAAGGTGAGAGATTTGAGACATTTGTGAGAAGTCTGCATCTTCATTATGCCCAACAGATGCCAAATGATATTAAATCTGTCTTTTCTCTTAACATTACTGTTTAGGATAATTATAAACCTGTAAACAATTATATCATAAATTCTTTAAATTGATGATATAAATCTATTATTTTTCGAGTGGAATTATGTCCTTTTTATATAGTTTTACACTGATAAATCTGCAGTTTGTGAATAGAATCATCTATCGTGACTGTGTTTTGTAAAAAGCAATATCTAAATTTGTATATGGACCTTAGATAGAGGAGTGAACCCATAATGTCTTTTATATTTCATTACATTGTATAGTTGATAAAATATATAAAAACTATATTAGTAGGAGTACCTCGCCTCTGCAGAGTCATTGGGAAGACTTTGTTTAGACAGGTCCAAGTCTTTAGTCGGCCGCAGAGGATCCTTCTTCAGGTCCAGTTGTCTTTTCTCTTGTTGACTCCGTAGGATCTCAAACTGCCGCTGCAGTTCACTGAGGGCACTGTGGTCATCCATGGGCTGGAAAATAAATACTCTGAAAACCACCATGTCTCTGTTATCTTTACCAAAAAAATTAAAACAACTGACTCACTACAAAATAGAGAATATGTCAAATATTAGTCTCATAAAAAAAAAAAAAAAAAAATAGCTAAACGAACACAGGGAGGAAAGTTAACTAGTGTTGATCCCATGGTGTTGGCAGATAATTCGTGAACCTTAGCCAAGCAGATTGCTCGTTAACCAAATATAATAAGTTAGCAGTTAGCTTTGTTTAACTATTTAGCTAGCTAGGTAGTTAACGCAGGAGGAAACTAGCTTTATCCTAAGTTTGTTAATTAACGCTAGGTGGAATAAAAACAAAGAAATTCGATAAAGTTTGAAACGGGGGTCTTACCTTTAAAAAATCTGTGTCAGTACATAGAAAAGTCAAAGATCAGAATCCTAGAGGATAACAAACAGGCTAAAACATTCTAAACATATCAGCTAACCTGCAGCAGATCCACGGGAGGCAACACCGCGTCTCTGCTGTATCCTAGCAACGCTCTCAGGCGCAGATCTCGCGGGAGCTGAAGACGTGACTTTTACACTCATCGGCAAATTCTTCAGATGCCAAACGGGAATTTTTTTTTTTTTGTATTTATTATAAGTTGACGCAATAATTCACAAAATACATTAAATGACAGGATATTTGATGTTTAACCTTTCACATGTATGTTTATTATGTAAATATATGTAAAATTTTATAAATGTTATCTATTTTTGTTTATTTTCTCATTTCCTCTTATTTTTGTCCAAATAACTGTGCTTGTACTGTCTGTGGAATGTGTATTGATTAATGTATGACTGCAAAAGAAAACTAATAAAATATCAATTACAAAAGAATACTATGTAAATAATGGATACGAGAAATTGGGTGGTTGATTGTGGAAAGTGATGATTTTTAGTTTTAGACATACATGAGAAACCAATGCAATGTCTACATTGTGATGACAAGATTTAACTTTTCCTGGTTATATTAAATACAAATAAAAAAATACATTAGAATCTCTCATCACACGTATTGTTAACATGATCTGCTACATCTGTCAATTATGGGAAGCACACACACAATATGACAATGCCCTGAAGTGTACACTGCAATTCTAACTCTTGAATTATAGTATAGGGTTAAATACAAATACAAGTTTCAAAGAAAATTCTCCGAGCAATACAAATAAAGAGCTATCTCCTTACAGACCATTGCAGCCAATAATAAACAGATACAACAGATTCAAAAGCGTAATCCAGAATGAAGAAACATCAGTTATAAGAAAAAATGAATAAAAACAACTGCAGCTTGATACAGTCTTTATTGTAGATCTGTCAAGTCTGAACAATATATTATAATAAAATGCCTGTATAAAAATAACACATTTTAATAGGAGGAATCAAACGCTTTAGAGCTTAGCCTTATTATGAGGTTATGATGTCGTTTAAGGATCATTTCCATTACTTGTTCTTCTTGTCTTCACTGGGACTTGCAATGTAGTCTCGGTACATTGAGTATATTACACCTGCGAGAGAAAGAGAGAGAAAATAAAAACAAATCTTACATCAATTACTAAAGCAGAGATGGCGTCCCGTAATAAGGAAACAATATGAATTTAATATTGTGGGGAGGGGACTATTCCAACTATTATACTTTTGGAAATTAGTTTTATTAAATGTGACATATAGAAGTGGATTGGATTAATGATTGTGTAGTAGTAGCAATAGTCTGCCAATATGAAATCAAAAGTACCAAAGCAATGACAGAAAAGGAATAGATCAACTGTCCAAAAAAAGAACCATGGGTGAACGCAATACATGAAGATTTATTATTATCCATCCACCCATTCATTATTTTTTCTTCCGCTTCATCCGTTGCCGGGTCGCAGGGGCAGCAGAGACGCCCAGACTTCCTTATCCAACACACACTTGCTCCAGCTCATCCGGGGGAACACCAGATTTATCATTATTATTATTATCATCGTTGCATGCAGACGTACCCATGGTGATAGCGCCGACCACGAAGCCCTGAGCGCCCACTCGCATGTGGATGAGGTGAACCGACATCTTTGTGTTCCCGCGATGTTTCATCCTCATCAGCTGGTACGCCACGATGCCAATCAACCCAGTGATGCCTTCACAGACAACAGACACAGCATGCATGTCGTTCAAGGCAAAGCGAGGTTTTATGTATAGGACGGTCCACACACAAACCTATAAGTGTATAATTTATGGTTCATTGGTTTATTAGTCCTTTTTCTACAGGGCCTTTTTCAACTAACTAACTACTAGCTAGGGCTGGGCGATATGGCAAAACAGTAAAATCTCGATTTTATTTCCTGCTTTGGACAATGTCAATTTTAAATCGATTTTCATTAAAGTCACTCAAGACAGACTTTCCCCTTAAAATATTTTTTATCTTCCCGCTCAATATTCAAGTTTCAAAACTATTTTTTATTTGTTTCCCCCAATACGTATTATAAAAGTCTAGTACAGACTGTGCTGATATTGCAAGTATAATTCATGTGCTGCTGGAACTCTCCCAATATCCCTCATTCGATTTCACAATTTTCACATTTTTCACGAATTTGATTTTTTTCAAAAGCCGATTAATTGCCAAAATTCGATTTATTGCCCAGCCCTACTACTAACTGACATTTTCTCATGTGGATTAGGGATAGGATACACATAGAAGCACTTAATGAGAGCCGAAAATTCAAATCATACAAAGACTGTCATGACGTCGACCTTGATTTTGACTTGATGTACTCATTTTGATGTATTTTCTTACTCATCTGTCTCGTTCTGCTTCCAGTCCCATTGATAGTGAATAAATACCCTGTGCTTTTTCCCCACTTGTTGCCAAATCCATTGTCTAATCCCATGTTTGTTTTTTAGGATTTTTGTTGTTGTATTTTAAAGAGGATTTAGTCTTATTTCAATGAATTACACTTTATTTTGAGTCCTGCCTTTGGAGTTCTTTTTTCTATTTCACCTCATGACAAGGACATTAATATCATGAACACTAATAATTCATCTGCTATAACATATAAACTTACCCACAGGAACAAACGGGTTCTCCTTGGCTTTGCGCATAAACTTGGATTGATTCCCCTCATCGTCAGACATCTACACACAAAGCACACAAAGATGAAATAAATGTCTTTGTTTGTTGACAGATTTTAGGAAAGAACCACCCTCTCCACTTTTTGAACAAAACTCCCTGATCTTAATTGACGAGCACGTATCACCAGAATGATTGACAATTGGGAGGACCAATAGTCTTGATGATTCACCCGGAAGTATAAAATCCTCCTATATATCTCTAACTCTTATGAACGTTGGTCATAAGAGGACACTCAAAGATGCCCCTCTGACCACCAAGCGCACACACACACACACACACACACACACACACACACACACACACACACACACACACACACACACACACACACACACACACACACACACACACACACACAAGACTAATTCTGTCAGTGTGAGTCAAGTGTCTTGCTTAAGGACACAACAACAATTTGGCACTCTACAGCCGCAGCCCCCCATGTTGTTATAAAAATATAGCTATGTTTGGTAACTAATAATTGAATAAAAAAGGAATAGTAATAAAAAAGAACAGTACAGTTATATCACCATTTTCTCCATAACCTTCAAAACAATCCCCGCCCCTTTATTTTGGATAGCCAGAGCTGACCCTACACATACACAGTAACAGACCCGTATATAACTATAATAAATCAATAACAATGACATAAAAGAACGAGCATCTGTGACTGACTGAATGTCAACATCGCACTCTTCTTAAATAGTGCAATATATTTTTGACCATCTTTCTCATCTCTATTGGATCTATTTACGTTGCAAATCAGGAATCCCCTCACGTTTAGCATATTTAGCATTTAGCAGTTATAAGGCTATGTGAACATTCTATTCACTGAAATAAACAGACCTTGGAATCAAACTTCAAATGTAGAGTCTTGATAAGGACACCTCACTTCCTTGATCCGCGCGTCAGTGATAGCGCACGGGCCGTCCACAGGGAAAGCTAGAGAGCCTGCTGGATCTGCGGCGGCCATCTTGGTATTGTAAATAGATCATTTTCAATAAAAAAAAGGTGTTTGATTATCTATTCAGCAAGACAAGAAATAAATATAATGTTTGCGAAAGTATTTAAATCAAATATTGCAGAATGGCGTCAAAACGTACGTGTAATTAGATATGGTTAGTCAAAATATTGTAATAACTATATATATTGCATTCATTATTATATTAAAAATCAAAGTATTTTTTTTTCAATTTGGGTTTCAACTTGCATCTGTATTGTTAACATTTGTTAAGTTTTAATACATTTCTGGGGAAGTGTTCGTGGCTGTCGTTACTGACGCTGACCGTGCTCTCTCTAGCGCGCTCTTGACGTGCCCGGTGCTACCCCGGAAGTCAATGCATACAGTCGCAGGAGTAAGCGGTGCAAAGCTACAGCCGATCTCTCTCCTTTGTCCGAGAAACATGTCTAAAGGCCACGCACTGAGAGCTTTGGTCACGGAGCGTCTGACCGCGGCGGCCGAGGAGATATTCAGTCTGATCGGGAGAACCGTGGCGGAGTACGAGGAGGAGCTATGTCGCTACAAAGAGGAGAACCGGAGAAAACAGGAGCTACTGGACTCCATGATGAGCCCGAGAGTGGTCCTCCTGCTGGGATCCACTGCCCAGACGCCCGGGCAGACCACGCATCCCAGTTTAAACCCTCAAATAAAAACAGAAATAACTCCACAGGTTAAAAACGAGCCACAAGAATCAGACATGAAGTTTGATAAACGTGTCTGTATAAAAACAGAGGAGCCTTCATCATCACAACAACAACAAATGGAATACATGCAGCACATACAGGCAGATCAAAGCAGCCTGCAGACAAATGAAGTCATTGATAAAGACTCAGAAACTCATGCAGAGACTTGTGTGAAAGATGAAGACACGGCTGCTCCATTCAGCTGGTCAGATCTTGAGAAGGAGGCAGAGAGCGATGGAGACCTCTGCTTCCAACGTCAAACCATGAACGAACCAAATACCAGTCTGCATTCTGAGGTCCCAGGATCTGCCAATGGACCTAGCTGCCACCCATGTCCCATCTGTCAAAAGATATTCCGGAAAAAGCAGGAGTTGCAAATGCACATGAGGATCCACACAGGAGAGAAGCCCTTCGTCTGTCCGTTCTGCGGGAAGACCTTCACCCAGCACCCGCACCTCAAGTCCCACGTCAGGATCCACACGGGGGACAGGCCGTTCCTATGTCCCACCTGCAATAAGGCGTTTCGTCACAAGGGAAACCTGGATGTGCACATGCGCCTGCACACAGGGGAGAGACCTTACAGCTGTTCCATCTGTGACAAGCGCTTCCCAGAGAGCTCCAGTCTGAAAAAGCATCTAAAAAGTCACGCGAGGAAAGCTTTGAGGTTGAGTAAAGGTCGGGCAGCGGACAATCAGTGATGTTGGAGGAGTTTGGAAGAGATGGAGAAGGTGGAGTCGGCTCATAATAACAGGATGATCATGTGAAAATGTATTCAATTCCATTTATTTTTGTATAGTCCTAAATCACAATAGTAGTTTTCTCAAAGGACTTTACAAAGCTGTCCATTCGCCCACACAGAACAAAGAATCAAATGATTATAGCACAGGAAGTGCAATGATTAAAAAAACACATTGGTTTATTTGGGGCAGATGACCAATGTCCATAAATGTTAATCATGTCCGTATGTATCCACCATAGACTGTACCAAGCACAAATAAACAGTTGTTTTTAACCCATCTATTGTATATGCTGCATTCATGATGGAAACTAGTCGTTTTGGAAAGAAATTATAAAAAACAAACATGTCCAAACGTTTTTTCTTAAGTCTTATTTGATTCAAAAACCCTCATTATTGAATTTTCACACCATAGTGAGTGTGAGTAATGGTTAATAAATGGTTTGGACTTAAGAAGGCTCTGTTTAATGGCAAGATGGACTTTGGGAATGTTTATTAGGATGAGATATTGTTTTACTATGAGTACTTAGATCAACCATCTCTTATTGTAAGTAGTAGTCTTTATTTATATACCGCCTTTCACAGACCAGAGTCACAAAGCGGTTTACAAGTGTTATTTTTGGGCACTAGTCCTCTCTCTCCACACAGAGATGGGAGCGGGGTCGCCAAACAGGAGGCACATGCCAGACCTATTGTACATGTTTTTTGTGGTAGGGGAAACCGGAGTAAACCTACGCAGACACGGGGAGAACATGCAAACTCCACTCAGAAAGGCCCTGGTCCGACCGGGATTCAAAACCAGAACCTTCTTGCTGAGAGGCAAGAGTGCTATCCACTCTGCCACCGTGCCGCTCGTGACTTTCCCTTATGTGGATCCTTGGATGGAGACACACGATAAGACAACATCCTCTTCCTTTGCCGCTGTACGTTTCGATCTCCTGTAACCCCCACTTGCTTCTCTCCTCCAGCAAAGAGTAATGGCGTTCCCATAGAGCAGTGGTGTCAAACTCATTCTGGTCGTTGTAGAGATAAAATTTTAGAACGGATTCAGTGATATGGTTTTCCTGAGACAGTTTGTTTTAAAATGAAGTATAACATGCCATAGTATCCCATTACCATCAATGCTGTAAGTTACAGTAATAAGGATAATTGAAAATCATTTCAGGGGCCAGTAAAATGGTCTCATGGGCCGGATTTAGCCCACGGGCCAGTATTAGACATGTCTTCCATGGAGAGACAAGACATCAGATCACCTCCACAGGGAACTGACCAGAATACTTTCAATCTCAATGTTTTTTTTGTATAGCCCTAAATCCCAGCAGGAGTTACCTCTGGACAACAGACGACAGTAGCTCAGTTGGTAGAGCATTGGCCTTAAGGCCTGAAGGTCGTGGGTTCAATTCCCACCTACACCTTCTCCACCGACTCCCGCTGATGACTGCTGTCGTTGTGTCCTTGGGCAAGACACTTAATCCCACTTTGCCCAAAGCCCCCACTGAAAGATCAAGGCTATGCTCACACTCAGAGAGCAGCCGTCCTCCTGTGGACTCACCACCTGCAGAGGGTCAGTGAGGGGCTGGTGCTATGAGACTTGGGTGGCATCTCTGACTGCCACCCCCCTGACCCAGAAATGGATTAAAGTGTAGAAAATGGATGGATGGATGGAGTTACCTCTGGACTGTACAAAGTTGTCGATTCACCAACACAGATCAGAAAATTAAACTGTTCAAACACAGAAAATGCAATGATAGAAGCCATTTACTTCTGAAAGAGATGCTCGGGCACCACCTCAGCAGGCTCTTCTCGATGTGGAAGAACAGCGGCACTACTCCAAGCTCCTTTAGAGTCATCTGTGAGATTGTGAGCACCATCTCCACCGTGAGTAAACAGGAAACGTTCTGTTATAGGAAAAGCAGCTGGAGCGTGACCCGTCCACTTCCTGAGTCCCCACCCGAGAGAAGACACATGGGAGACAACATTTAAAGCTGGGCCACTTTTGGTTTCATAAATAACAAGTTAAAAAGTCAGCACAAAAAGTCTTGCAACAGTTGTCAAATCAGACCATTGCATAGGGCTATTTATTGCACCTATGCAATAGTTAAAATCTTTCCATCGAAAAGATTTTAACTATTGCATAGGTGCAATAAATAGCCCTGTGAGTCACTATTTGACTATTTGACTCATGTGAAGGTTAGTGATATAAAGAGGAACTATGGGTTTTATTTCATAGTTTGAGTTTTTGTGGCTGGAAAGTAAGGTCCCCGAGCTTTAAGTCGTAAGGTATATAGGAGGATTTTCCAGAATTTTAAAACATGTCTTGCATTAAACCAGAATGATTGACAATTAGGAGAACTAATAGTAGATGATCCACCCGGAAGAAGAAAATCCTCCCATTGACCTTTAAGTCAGAGTTTTAAAGAGACTTTTAACTACCCTTGGGTGAAAATAAAAGTAGAAAAATAACCTAAATAAATTATAAAAGGTCCTGAATGGCCCAGGACAGGTCAAGTTAGAAAGAATCATCAAAATTAAGCCCAAAAATATTAAATAAAAGGTATTTTTTCATATCTGTGGTGGGTCATTTTGTGGATAGCAAAAGGGTTCGGGAAAGTTTTTATGATCCTGGTTTATTACAATTTTAGCTTCCTTCCCCCACGAAACCCAATCCACCTATGAAAATGTAATGTTTTTATTTCACACAGACTTCAGACACAGCTACAGTAATCTCTCAATGTACAAGTTTCTTGCGGAAGTTCAAAAATACAATTTATTTGAAAACATGTCAAAACAAGTATACATACTAACAAAACTAAAATGAACCAATCAAAATGAGTGTGTTGCAGCTGATTATGGGGCTTCCTTTAGGATACTGTAATACTGCGGCAGAACTTTTAACAGCAAAGTCCGTACAGAGGAATCTAACTCTGAAAACCTTTATGTGATTTATTTGTACCCATGATATTGCTGGACGATATCATATTCCTAAACAAACAAACAAAAGACAACACATGTTTTAGTAGAAAGTGTCATGAGTCATATATAGCATTATAGAATATTCTTAAATTATTCATATTTCTTATGTAAAGAAGATGACGACCAGTGGATCAACTTAAGAAAATAAGAAATGTCCTTTTTTTTAACATGTAAAGCAGGTAGGTCCCCATCCTTTTTCTCTTTCTACGTGAAAAAGAATGGCACACACTGTAAAAAAATACAGTCACAAAAAACCCAGTTGTAAAATGTCTAAAGTGCACATTTACAATTGAGTCGAGTTGCAAAAAAGGTTTTAAATTTGAAAAAAACTAAAAAATTACGAATCACAACCGCTATTGATGCAGTTTTGTCCACAGTCCCATGAACTAGTTCAGGCGAAAGAAGCTGGTTATAATTCAATTCAATTCAGTTCAAAAGCAGACGAATATTTGAACATTTCTATAAAATAAATAAAAAGACTATTTGAATGAGAGGCGTCCGTCACTTGTTCGTCACGGCCTTTGGTTGTTTGGCTCCGAGGTAGAACTCGTTGTACATTGAATAAATAACACCTGCAGAGAAAATATGAACAGTTAGTGGACAAATATTGAATTCAATGTTGTTAGGGTGGTTAAATTAACACTAGCACTCCCAGAGCAGTCAATTTGACGGCTTTTATTTGGTATTGTGTTGTTTGTGTTATTATCATAGACTAAGTATCAACGAACGTAGTCACCCCTAACTACGGCCATTGACACTAATGTGTCATCATTTCTGTGGGCTTTTTCAGAATGGTCACGGGGGACGATAATGTGAAAAAAACTTATTTGCTCATGTGTTAGCCCCATTCCTTTAACGAGTGCCTTCTGAAGTCCACAGAGGCTAAACTAGACTGGACTAAACTAGGCTCCCATCAGGATTGACACACATTTGGATTGTAGCGTTGAGCCAAGAGCCGACATTTGGACCATCCTGTAAAGCTGTTTTTGAAAGGAAAGAAGACGCCATGAAAAGCATCGGGTGATTCTCTTTCTGGTTATTACTCAGCTCATGATACAGTCTCTCTGTGTAATTTCTTTCAATGTCATTTTCTTACATTTTAAATGAGTAGTTCTACCTATCCCAGTGTAGATAAATAATAAAACCAAAAAATAAGGTTTACTTGCTACAAGTTAGCATTGGGGGCGACAGTAGCTCAGTTGGTAGAGCATTGGCCTTAAGGCCAGAAGGACGGGGTTCGTCCCACCTCTGCACCTTCTCCACCGACTCCCACTGATGACTGCTGTCGTTGTGTCCTTGGGCAAGACACTTAACCCCACTTTGCCCAAAGCCCCCACTGGAAGATCTCAGCTCCTGTGGACTCACCACCTGCAGAGGGTCAGTGAGGGGCTGGTGCTATTAGACTTGGGTGTTATCTCTAATTGCCACCCCCCTGACCCAGAAATGGATTAAAGGGTAGAAAATGGATGGATGGATGGATGGAATTGGTTGGAATTGGATGGAATTGGATGGAATGGCATTTGGTAGCCTTTCAACAAACTGATAAAATTGATGAATATAACTTGAAATACAGACAAAAAGCCATTAGTAAAAGAAGGAAAAGAAAAAAGAAATTTAGCTCAAAAAATATATTCATTGTATTTCTAATTACTGTGATGGGTCAATGATAGCACAAGAGTAAAACGTTGTACCTGTCAGTCTGTCGTCAACTATATCAAAATCATTCCATGGCCAATGGAAACAATGATCATTTCAGCAAATCCAAAACAATACAATGTTTTTACAATCATTTGATATTTCATGTTTCTGCCCTGTGCGTAAAGGTAAAGACTTAGTTGTAATACCTAACGTCATGGCTCCGACCACAAAGCCCTGCGCGGCCACTCGCATGTGGATGAGGTGAACAGACATCTTCACGTCTCCACGAGTTTTCATCTTCATCAGACGGTATCCCACGATGCCCATGAATCCGGCCAGTCCTGCGAGAACAGAAGATCAAAGGGAGTGTGAGGGATCTGTTTCCTGTTGTCATGTTTTAATGCAATCTGTCTGTCAAATCAAAGAAACACGCACTCACCGATGGGCACAAATGGATTCTCCTTTGCTTTGCGCATGAATTTGGATTGGTTTTCTTCGTCAGCCATGTTCGCTAAAAAAAAAAAAAAAAAAAGAGAAAGAGAGATGACAATTAATTTATTTTTTTCCCCAATGATAAGCTACATAATCAGCTAATATTGACAATGAAGCAGGATGGCAAACATTTTTATGGATGTGTTCAGCAGAAGTTCAGTATATAAGGAGTCATAGGGGGCAATAAAGCAACTACGCAGCTCAACTCTTATCATAATACAGCAAAATAATAATTACTTAAGTGCAAAGATCATGTATAGGTTGCAGTTCTATTTCAGTGGGTGGACAGGTGCCACAACAACTCAATGGGAAGGAGGCATTTTTTGAAAGAAATGCTGAAAAATGAAATTGAAATTATGATTAGATTGTGATTAACCACTACATTCTTATGTCTGTAAGTCTACTGGGAAAAATCATATGGACTGACATAAGAGATAAGATAAAATAATATATTCTATATTCTTTATTTATCTCACAAGGAGGAGAAATTTACATGTCACATTGGCATGGATAGAAACACTCAGATTGTGCAAAAAGAGAGGAAATGTGCAAACATGTTAAATGCAGGATATATTATGTACATAAAAAGTGGCTAAAAAGAGTAACGTTGTCCCAGATCTTATTTTCATGGATATCTTGATGGTAAATTAGATTGTAATATCTGTTTGTTTATGTGTCTACTTGTATTTTTCTGTTTCACAACAACCTGCTCAGGGACTACAGGTGTAAATTAGCACTGCTGCTAAAACCTGGGACAATACATCTCTCCTTCAGGCTAATGTTAATTGTACACAATAAGAATCATACCATACCATAGGATTACAGGAAATAATGTAAAGACTAAAAACTAAGACAGGACTGTACTAAAATATCATAGCAAGTCAAAAAACAACTTTTACATATCTTTTCTAATGGATATACAGGCGTCTATAATGCAGCAAGTGAAGGTGACTGACCCCTGAGGTTACGAAGCAAGGGCAGGGGAACAGAACGTAACCAATGATCGAAGGAGTGATATTTATCTAAAAGATCCATTGTGGAGTTGATTAGTTTGATTTATGGCTTTAATGTTATCGCAAATAAAGATCAAGGAAAGAGTGGACGCAATGTACTTATCGCGTTTACTGAATAAAACGAAAGTAGAAAAACACTGAGCAATGATCGAATAGATTCTTACCTTGTTAGAATGTACCTAAAATCCTGTAAAGTTGTTAAATGAATAGACTTCTCTACTTATATCCGCTGAAAATGAGAAAGTGCCTAGTCCAAAGAAGAAACCCGGCGAAATGACATAACACGAGCGAGGATAGGACTCACGGCAAACGTCATAGTTGTTATTTTCCCCAACGCAAATATGCAAAGGTTGTCCAAAACTATCACTAATGTCTATGTAACAAAACCTTCCCAAAAAACATACTCATCCATAACTTGAATTTAAACTTATGTACAATTTAAAAAAAATAGAAAAGAATTAGCTCACATACGCATAGCCACCAATGATAGCAATTTTCAGAATACCTGTGTTGGAGAAAAACTGTTTAGTTTGTAGCTTTTGGGTTGGGAAAAAAGAACAAAATAAATAAATATTTGGCCCACGTACACATATTACACAATATCTATTCAATTAATGATACAAGTAGTATTATAAAGCCTTGTGTAATTAGTATATGTTGTTCAAATGGGGACTTTTGTGATGACCGTTTGTTTATGAAAGCGGCGCAGGTTCAGAGGGTTCAAAGATAGCGGTAGAGAAGTCTATGGTAGAGCATTCGGAATATACATCCATGAGCAAGTGTTGCAGAAATAATCGTAAAAGCCTTAGCCACTATATAACATCTCAATCAACAATCAAAAAATGAATACAAAAAACATGGATATTTTATTCTTCATATCTAGGCTGTCCAGATGTGCCAACATAACAAGTTACAGAGTATTGTGAAAACTTGCTCTAGAATCACAGGAGGAAAACTCAGAGACCACTCTGGGAGGAACAGTTTCTGAATAAAGCAAAAAATACATAACTCTTTGACGTGACGTAACAGGCTATTTGGCATTTTACAACATTGCTACTTCAGTTACCCATACATCCCTGCTGTCTTCCAATAATATTTACAGTCTATGCTTCCAATACAGCTTTATTTAATGTTTTGATCTGGGAATATTTCTGTCTTTTAATATATATATTTTTTTATATCAAACCCAAATTTTACGAAATTACGTTTTTGTTGCGAATTAAAACAAAATATGTATAGAAATTCAGGAAAAGATCAAACAGAACATTGCATAAATTATCAGACGAAATAAATCAAGAGGACAATGTCGCTGATGACCAGAAGATGGCGCTGCTGTTAAGAAGACAGAGTGCAGATCAAACAGTGAGAATCTCATAACCAATTAAACAGTCGACTGCGTGAGCGCTCGGTTATGTGCTTATCGTGATGCTATTACTTTGTCTTGAATATTCAACTAGCTTATCCTAAATTAAGTATGGTGTAGATTCCTTCTGCACAGACTTCTCAGTCAAATCCCTGTCTCCATGGAGAAAGTCTGACAGTAAAATGCCATACTGTGAAACATTCTGACAGGGCATATATGACTCTCCACCAGACAGTGCTCATAGATATTGCATTTTTGGTAATGCTGGCTGCGCTTAAAGAATAGGAGGATAGTTGAGAAGGGTGCAGAAGATACGTCAGAAAGCTGACCAAAAGGTATTACGTCCTTTGCTTGTTCATGAAAAAAAATCTAAATGATCTTGTGTTTTGGTTTCTTGGCGACTAAAGTTTGATCTTCTTTCACGGAAAAATCCATCGATCCATGAAAAGGATATAAGATAATTTTAATCATTGATGTTTGCAGAATGAACAGAAATTAGACTGAAATGACAGGTTTGTTAGTGACAAATTAGTTTTCTGAAGTGAAGTTACCACCAAGAGGTAATGTCATTGTGCCAGTGTGTGTCTGTTTGTCATACAGCAAGGTGGTTCCATGTTCTTCCTCCGTAACAGATGAAGACTTCAAGTTTTTCTGGCTTTGGAAGTTGTTTTTCAATAGTGCATTGTGAGTACTAAAATCAATGAAGAATAATACATTCAGGGAGTTATTTGTATTCACTTTGACTTTACTTGGTTCGATGCTGGGGAGGACTATTCCAGCATGTTTTGGGTAACTTTCCAAAACATGCTGTTTATAGCACTATATACATTGAGGAAGAAAAGTCACGTGAGTTGCTTGAGTTGAATTAGAAGCTATTTCAACAAAAATAAATGATCTGTTTGTTTATTTGTATACTCACACATGTTTCAGGCCTGACTCATCGTCCAGGAAGCCAGTGCCCCTCGACGGGAGGAGCCATGTGCTGTTATATGAAACATGAACCTCAGACTTTAGGCAAATAGAGTAAGTGTGTGCAAAAGGAGCTATCAGTCATGGCTCTACTGCTGCCCGTGCTTTTCGGATGTGCTGCTTGTCTTCTCGCTGGACTGTACATTCTGGGAGTTTTTAGACAAAGACGTCCAGGGGAACCTCCTCTCGACAAAGGTTGGATTCCTTGGCTCGGGCATGTCCTGGAGTTCAGGAGAGACAGTGCCAAATTTCTACAGAGAATGAGGCAAAAGCATGGTGATGTTTTTACAGTGCACCTGGGTGGCTCCTATGTCACGTTTCTTCAAGACCCTTTATCATTTGGGGCATTTGTAAAAGAGAGCAGAGAAAAGTTGAGCTTCAATACATTTGCGAAGCAGCTTGTTTGGAGAGTTTTTGGCTACCAGACCATCCAAAATGACCACTCGATCATTGAAGCGACTAGTCAGAAACACCTCAAAGGTTACGGGCTGCAGATAATGACAGAATCCATGATGTCCAATCTGCAGACTCTTATGCTCGAGAATCTTGGCTCTGACACAAACCAAAAAACCTGGACAGAAGATGGACTTTTTAATCATTGCTATAACGTTGTGTTCAGAGCCGGTTACTTGGCTCTTTACGGAAACACCACTTCAAAGACTGAAGGAGATGAGGAAAAAGCCAAAGCTAAAGACAGAGCAGAGTCTGAGAAATTGTTTAACGAATTCCGAAAATACGACCAGCTGTTTCCCAATTTGGTTTACGGCGTCCTGCCCCCGAGCGGTAGGAGAGAAGCTCTAAGACTAATGCGTTTCTTCTGGGATTTTCTGTCCATGAAAAACACAGAGATCAAAGACAACATCAGCGGCTGGATTTGGGACATGCAAAATATGCGAAAAGAAGAAGGCATGTCGGACTCAATGATAGACAGATACATGTTTGTCCTGCTGTGGGCCGCCCAAGGCAACACTGGACCTTCGTCATTTTGGCTTCTTCTCTACCTCATGAAGCACCCAGACGCGATGGAGGCTTTGCGAAAAGAGGTAGACACGGTTCTAAAGGAGTCTGGGCAGGAGGTCAGGCCCAATGGTCCTCCAGTCAACCTAACCCACGAAATGCTCATGAAAACCCCAGTTTTTGATAGCGCCGTGGAAGAAGTACTACGTCTCGTGGCGGCACCGATGCTCACTCGATCGGTCGTCCAAGAGATGACGCTGAAAATGGCGGACCGTCGCGAGTTTTTACTTCGCCAAGGAGACCGGTTGGCTGTTTTTCCTTACATCGCAGTTCATATTGACCCTGAGATCCACCCTGACCCCCTCACGTTCAAGTATGACCGCTTTCTCACTCCAGAAGGTACCAGGAAAACAGATTTCTACAAAGGAGGGAAGAGGGTCAAGTACTACAGCATGCCTTGGGGGTCTGGAGTGTCCATGTGTCCAGGTCGCTTCTTCGCCATCAATGAGCTCAAGCAGTTTGTCTTCCTCATGCTGGTCTATTTTGACTTTGAGCTGATAAACCCAGAGGAGGAGACGCCACAAATCGACCGCAGACGTTGGGGATTTGGAACCATGCAGCCGGACCGAGAAGTTAAGTTTCGTTACAGGCTTAGATACTAAAATTGCGCAATAAAGACTTTTTGTACAAATAACATCTACACCCCGTAGACTAGTATAGAGCCTTCAATTATCTTTTTTGTGTCAGTATTTTGAATGTATCCAGTAAGGTATCGCTAGCATGAAGGAAAATGGACTACAATAGAATACATGTTTCTTGAGACGGACCTTTGTGATTATTTTGTTGATTGCCTTGATCAGATCTCTTTTGTAAAACAGATTCTGAATGTAACTTTCTTGTCTAAATAAAGTGCTATCTTTTTATCTTGGATGGGTCTTTTTAGATACTGGTGTTAATCATTGAAATTAACTGGACAATAAAACCACACCCATAGGCCTTGACTGTACAATTGTATAATTACTAGGGCTGTCTAAATTACCGCGTTAATTCACGTTAATTACCGTTTTCATTAACGCGTAAAAAAAAATATTAACGCATGTTCGAATGACCCGCCCATTTATAATAATATCACTCAGAATGCCACTGACACGTGCGTGTGTGTGATGGTGACAGCGGTAACGTGGTCATATAATACGCTCATATATACACGCACAGGGCCATTCTCTGATGTTGTGTGACACACGGAGGAGAGGAGGAGACACGCTGAAATGCAACCAAACTCGCAAAATTAAAGCTGGGGTACCTACATTTTCCCTTTCATTAACAGCTCTTGTTGGTTGTACCCAAAAGTAGAAGGTTGTGAGCAAGTCAAACAGATTTAAGTACAATTGGTATGAATAACAATGTGTCATTACATTTGAAAATCTAATTTAACTTCAATTGGAGTTGATTTGAAATAGAATGTTAAAAATGCGATTAATCGTGAGTCAACTCACCATTACTATGCAATTAATCAACCAAAAAAATTTATCGTTTGACAGCCCTAATAATTACGTATGGATTTCCCTAAGCAAAGTTCTTCCTGAAGGAATCTCCCAACGTCAGAAAAAACTGAATAGATAGATACTTTATTGATCCCGTAGAAGAAATTCAGGTGTCCAGTAGCAGCAAAATAAAAGATAAAATTGATCATATTTGCTGAATGTTTACCATGCGATCCAATAATTCTCAAATCACAAACTCAATTCCAATACTACTGCAAAACCAAAAACTTATAAATTATGATGTAATAAAGTGTTTTTAATCTTAATTTATCTAATTTTTCATCACTTTTTGCAGTGTGACAATTGGACCCAATACCACACGGCAAAAAGCGATGAGAAGAGGTTTTTAAAAATTGCCAAATTTGAGTAATTTATCTTAAATTGAGCACTTTTTAACTGCATTAAAACAAGATCTTTGCTTCAAAAGGATTTAAGAAATGTCTCCCTTGAAATAACACTAAATACCTTCGTCCCATTGGCAAATCTGGTTTTAAGACAGTCAGAATGTACTCAAATTAAGACTTGATCTGAGTATTTTTTACCTCATGTTTTATCACTTTTTGCAGTGATACCAATTTCAATACCACTGTGAGAATAAAAAAAACAATACAACATTATCCTACTTTTTTTTACTCCTTTACAAGTTTGGAGTTCAAAGTTCCCTCTGAGAAAATCATTTGAAAGAGAAAGGATAATTTCTGGCTTTTCTGAACTGATATGAGTGTAAATGGTGCCCTCAGTAAACCCATGTTGGAAATACCATGTGTTGTAGCCTTGAACGTAACCTTTGAATACTGTAAAAGCTAGGCCTTGTTAAAACAAAGATGAAGCCACATCTGGCCTTCATTATTAGACACACAACACACAACATCTGAAATCCTGAAAAACACATATCCCCAAACACATAAATAAATTGTAAATCAGTTCTTGTTTATTGACTTGTATTTAACCAGGAACGTCCCAGTGTGATTTCAGACTCTATTTTTCAGAGAAGTCCTGGCAACAGAGAGAGGGGACGGTCTTGTGTGTTCTACTGTTTGTTTTATCGGGTGTTTTGATACTATGACCTGTGTATTCCAGGTTAAAACGTGTACTGTGTCATGTGATGGAAAGGAGGAGGACTCAAAATGCGAGAATGCCAAAATAATGATTTAATAAAATAAAGTCCAAGGTAAAAAACAGAACTTCAAAAACCAAAATAACCAGGAACAGACTGAAGACATGAACAAACAAGACATCCATCCATCCATCCATTTTCTTCCCCTTAATCCATTTCTGGGTCGGGGGGGCAGCAGTCAGAGCTGCACCCAGTACACATAGCACCAGAACTTCAAAAACCAAAAAAACCAGGAACAGACTGAAGACATGAACAAACAAGACAGACAATACAATGGACTAGCAACAAGGGGAGAGAAGTAAAGGGTACATATAGACAGAGACACAGGTGAAACACATCAGGGCAGGGCAGACAATCAACACTGGGGAACAAGACAGGAAGTCAAACTAAAAAACCACAGAGAACTGATTTCAAAATAAAAGCAAAATACAAAAATAAAATCCACACCATGACATACTGCTGTTTAAGATGTGGTTTAGACCTGAAGAACCAGGGGATTTAATTTTGGTTCATGTCTGACTTTGTTTTGATGCTGTAATTTAATGGTTTCTGGTATTAATTCATCATTTAGATAATGTGAAAGAGCATATTAAAATGCCCAGAACCATTGCAGTCTGCGAAAGGCGCCCTATAAATAAATATTACTTACTTACTTCCTCTCACCTCTGTCAGGCAGGGAGGGGCCGTGACACTTACTTGTTTAGATATTTCACTGCACCAAACACGAAACAAAATATTACTTTTATATCTTGAAAGTACACATAGAGACACATTGAATTATCAAGTTTGATTATATGTACACACACACACACACACACACACACACACACACACACACACACACACACACACACACACACACACACACACACACACACACACACACACGCGCACGCACACATGCACACACACAACTGAAACAAGTAATCGTCAACTCTTAGTATGAGATAAAAAAGAGCAGTGAAGGAGAATCTAGATCTGCACCAAACAACAACAACACCATGGGAGACAACGTGACATTCAGAGATCACCTGCTGAGACATTGTTTCGCTTTTATTTTCAAAGAATAAAACACACATACATACACAGTGCACAAATGTGTTTCCATGTGCCCTGTTTTAGCCACACAATTCCTGCATTTAAGTTCCTTGTCTGTGCACAATGCCTTTAACTCTTGATTTAATTGATAATAATAATAATCATAATCGGTTATATACAGCGCTTTTCAAAAACTCAAAGACGCTTCACAATTCAGGACACACACACACACACACACGTTTAGACAGACACACAAAACTAAAAATCAAAAAAATGGAAAGAAGAGAGTTGTTGATTGTGTACTTAATTACATCTGCACCCAGCCCTATATCTTTCCGTTTACCTTTTTCACTTGATCTGAAGTGACTGTATATATGTGTGTGTGTGTATGTATTTGTGTACTTAATTTAATCATGCTAAAGTCAGAGATTATGTACTTTATTCTTGCTTCTTATTAGGGGTGAGGCAGTATGCGTCTCAATTTTAGCCTAAACCCCTTTCAGCCAGGCATTATTTCACTCTAAAATTCAAGACAAATTTTTGTAAAAAAAAAAAATTCTTATTGTAAAATGTATATACGACATTTGAAAACATGTGACCTGAGATCTAATGTACATATTGGCCCAAAGAAAATAAACTACTACTACTACTACTAGTTATTACAGGTTATAGGCTGCTTTTCTCATTATGGTAGAGGTAGAGATTTTTTTAATGTAATTTTATTCAGTAGAAAGTTTATTACTATTATTTATTATTTATCTTGTGCTGTGTGCTCTTCATTCCTACTGTTCTGTAACTGATGATGCAACACTGAAATTTCCCCACGGTGGGACAAATAAAGAATGTCTTAATGTTAATCTAATAATAGTTTGTATGGGGGTGGGTCTGTCGGGTTGACGGTTCATGGGCATTTGTTTGTGTTTTGCATTGGTTTGTATGAAAACTTTATAAATACATGTTGATTGATTGCTAATTGTACAAAAGCATTAATGGTGACGTACAGTGGGACAGAAGATAAGAACGCAGATGCAGATACTGATACAGAATACAGATAAACAGGCCGTGGCTTCAGCAATTCAAGCTGATGGGAAACAATAGGGCCTTTGGAGCCAGGATGTGCCCTGCTTGGTGTCCTGTCTGTACTTGGTATAGAGAAAAACCATCCATTGTGTGAGCGCTGAGTGGAGACACACCGAGGACTTTCTCTGCAAATTCTTTTGGGAAAATACTATGCATTTAGAGGTAAGTGCAACTCTATATTCCATGATGTTATTCTAGAAATGCGGTATTGTCAAAATGTGTTGTACCTGTCACAAATAATTACGTTTACGAACAACGCATGCAAAATAAACAAAATAATACAATGGATGAGATGGTTTAAAAAGTGTCTACAAAACAACCAGAGTTAGTAGAATCTATTTTGTTTGTGTTTATTAACCAATCCATGTTTCTTGCGTCAAAAACATGCAGAAGATTTAATATCTCCTGCTTTATATCGGTCAGGAAATGTAAACTTGTGACTTCTGAACCTTTTGACCAATCAATGTGCAAGATAGATCTCTTCTTGTCCCAATGTGGACTCTTTAAAAGCAATGGAGTATGAATTTGTTGTGTGCTAGAGGCTAAAGCACTGATCTCCTCTATTTGTGTGGAGCGAATTATTCACATAAACGTTGAGCTCCTTTGTAACTTTTTGTCTGTAAAATTCGTCTTTCTCCACATATATATATCCATCCTTTGACATGTTAATCTACAAATATAACATGAAAGTTGATTTTTGTTGTTTACTATTTTATACATGATAATACTGTTGCTATGATATGTTCCAGAATAAGGAAGGATTAGGAATGTGTTTGCCATTTGCAGTAAAACCCCATTGGAAAAACTGTGTAAGACTACCCCCAGTGTGCACCAGACAGAAAAGGCAGTACATTCCAGAGGTCCAGCCACAAACTTAATCAACAAAACATGTCCCTCTGTTGTTCACCGCTGTTAACCTTTGTTCATGAAATCCGATTCCAATTGGAGGACGGCAGGAGTAAAGTAAAACTCCCATCATCACAGTCGTTGCAAAACTTTGTGTGAGTGAGGTCAAAGGGAAACGACAGCTGATGAACTAAAGTCACTTTTACCTAAGTTTGTCGGACAAAGGTTACAGAGCTGAATGCTGGAAAACATACCACCAAACGTCAACATCTGCTGTTGTTTAAGATCTTGAATATTGGTTGGATGAATCAGATAGTTACATGCTAAGATATAGAACAGAGACAGTAAAGAAAAGGTTAAGCACATACGAATGGAGAGAAAAAGAGCAGCAAAGGAGAGGATATATTGATAGAAAGATCAAATTACATTCATTTCAATTGGTCAATGTATTCTTGTACAGCCCTAAATCCTGACAGTAGTTACATTAAAGCCTGGGTATCTAACTTTCAAACTACAAAAAAATAGTGAACTCGTTCTCCTCTCTCAAAACTGATTGGTCCTGTGTATTTTTCACAGGCCTGTAATTTTGGCCTCTCTCACCTCTTGAGAACAGTTTTGTTTTTTCAGTGAAAAAGACCAGTGGTACCAGTTCTCCCTCAGCCAATCAGCTCTCAGTATGTAAAAGCAATTGCAACAAAAACAACTATTTATGAAACAAAATAAAAGTTAGGTTCTCATATGAACACAGTATATATACAGGTATCATTACAGGAATATATTGGTTATTCCTGGAGGAAAAACAACAAAATGTGTGAAATTAGCTTAGATTTGAATCCAGGCGATGACCCAACACAGAATGGTATATTTCTGGTCAATAACTTTTAGTACCCCCTTTAGGTCAACATAGAATATGGCACTGGGAAAGAACACTGTTGACAGTCACGATGTCGTCATCCGAGATTACACAGAGATTGCTGAGAGAGTTGCAATTATGGTTGGATTCATTTGTATTAAAACAAGTTAATTGTGTGTCACTTTACAGCACTGTTAAATATATATATTACTTTTAGATTGAACTGAAACCAAACATTTTAACATCGTCACATTGAATTACCATGCTACCTTAATACACACACACATGCTAATATATACAAATGTACTTAGTGTGCACTTGTATATATTAGTCATTTTAAAGACATCTCACGAAGAATCTTATATCTTCTTGTATCTATTTTTACTTGTATAGCTTTTTTCTAATTCAAAGTTTGTGACTTCCTGTTACTTACAATGACAAAAATAGAATTATGATTTCATTGTGTTGTTAATACTATATATTTTTATGTTAAGATAAGAATACTATACTATAAAAAATTTGCTGGAGATTCACAGGATTGTCATTGTATAAAATATATATGTGACAATGCTAATAATCTTAAATGTAAGCCTTATACATGTTTGCCTGTATAGCATGACCCTGCTCACCCTGCCACGCCTCACTCTTGACTCTCTGGTGTCTTAACTGCTGTCAGGAGCAGTTCTGAGGGCAGCCTGAAGGGGGCAGCAACACGACCCAGGGTCATCGCACATCTCCAGGGTCTTTGCTCTCCACCCGGCAGACATCTAGTGTCATTAGCCCTCTGGTCAATGAACTGGTAGCTTTGAAAACCACCGTAGCATTTACGATTTCCCATGACTCACTCTGATGATAAAGAGGTACTGGTGATTAGATAAAGGATATGAGGTGTTCTGACCTGATCGTGTCTTTGAACTAAAGAAGCTTGTTCCGGAAATGACAGAATACATCGTTTCAACCAACTCGGTGTTCTGTAGTGGTCAGCCTACTATATACGCTGAGTCTATGTTCTCTGTTTGTCACTGATTCAGGCCCAATATTTTGCAACTTTACCAGCATTTTGGAGTTGATCACTAAAGAACTTTAATGAAATGAAAAGCATTTGAAATGTCCTTAGGTTGAGAACCCAGTAGAGAAACCAAAAAGTCACAGAATCATGTTACATGTAGGAAGGTTGAACCGACTTTTGCTTTGACTTTGTTTACATTAGTATTGAGTATTTGAGTTGGGTGAACACTGTCAACAATACCAGTGAAAAGATTGCATTGTTTGCTTTTTAGTAATTAAGTCATCTTTATAAGTTCAGTATTTGTCAGACAAAGTTTTGTCTACAGCAAATACTGCAAACACATTTGAGAACCCCTCAAAAACGAGATGGAACATTTCAAGGGGCTATTCCTCTTAAAATGACTTGACTGGACATGACTTGAGTCATTTTTTGATTCTTTGACATTATGATACGATACATGACATTTTCTGATCATTCAAGACCCTTCACGGAAAAAAGTGACTCAACTGACCACCACCAGTCATTCTCGTACACACCAGCCTCATTCTAGGAAATTAGAGAGAGCCAGAGCCGCCCCACCGTTACAGCTGGTGTTCCCAGAGGTCTCCGATCACAGTGTTTTAACCAGGCTCCTGGTAAATTCAGCATATAGCGATGTCCTGACAATCATGATTAATAGATTTGCGTGTGGATTTTCTTCCTTTAAGCAGTTTTAAACAGTAATTGTCACAGAAATAGCATTACTTCTATACTTATAGCCACGCTATTCTGAGAATAACATGTACATGGTATTTAAACAATGTTTATTTAGTTCTTGAAGCCCCCACTGAAAGATCTCAGCTCCTGTGGACTCACCACCTGCAGGAGGATCAGTGAGGGGCTGGTGCTCTGTGACTGGGTGCAGCTCTGACTGCCACCCCCCGACCCAGAAATGGATTAAGGGGAAGAAAATGGATGGATGGATGGATATTCAGTTCTACAGTAAGTAGAAGAGTGAGAAATTGCATTTTGCTGAGTTAAAACCATTTAGACATCTGCAGCCTTTGTGATTCAATCATTTCTATTTCATTATGTTTTAATTTGCAGCAATAGCAAAAAACATTGTGATGATAATACTAACAATATTGACACCAATAAAAACTTATTTTTTAAATAATAAGGCAATAATACAGCTGTAAAGTGCTTTAGAAACGTGTTAAAGTCACTCAAAACCCTTCATTAAAGTCACTATCCATTCCCTCCACTCCTCCGAGGTGGCTGTGCCACCACCACCACCACCACCACTACCACCACCCATGCACCACCCATGCACCATGTTTGTACAGTTGCATGCATGTTTTGTACACACACACACACACACGCGCACTTCAACAACATACAACACACACTCCCGAACGTGGCGTCATCCTTCATAATGTCCCTCTGCTTCCAAAGTGAAAGTGCAGACGTGGAGCTGATGAAGTTGTCTGCATCCTCCTCCGGGCCTTCTCTCATCTCAGACGCTTCAGTGGACTACAGCTTTAGTCAAACTGGCACGGGACGCACAGGGCCCGGGGGTAGGATAGAGTCTGGGTGGAAGGAACTGGGAGGAAGCATGAACAAATGAGATGGGACTGACACAACTCTAAGGCAGCCCATCGGACACCCACCACCACCACCCCCTCCTCTATTCCCTCTCCACGCTTTAATGATGGCGGCCCAAAACATGGAGCACGTTGTCTTGGGCTGGTGTCGTGCTGGCTTGATCCGTTACGTAAGCGCAGTGGGGCCCCCTCCAGTCCGCTCTCGTCAACTTTGTTCGCCGCGACAACATGCGCATGCAAAAAATCCGTGACATTAGCCAAGGAGAGCTGTCGAGATGTTGGGCTCTCTGCGTTGCATCACTTCAGCAGCAGCTCTGGCGCCCCGGAGCCAACACCGACCTCCTAAATGCAGCAGTGACATGGGGGAGTTCAATACAATGAGATTCCAATAACTTCAATCAGTAAAAGGCGAGTTTGTAGTCAATTAGTGTGGAATTATTGTGGAATTATTGCAGTGAAAGACGGGTTTTTCCTGTCCCCAAAATGCAATACACGGCTGTTAAAAAATGACAAAAATATGCTTGACTTGAGTGGTTTTTTCTCTTAATCTGAGTACATTCTGACTGCATTTTAAAACAAGATTGGCCGATGGGACAAAACCCTTGTGTCTAATTTCGAGAACTGTTGCTTTATTTTCTCATTCCAAGGGAGACAAGTCTTGTATCTTTTTAAAATAAGATCATTTTGCTCGTCCCATTGACAAATCTTCTTTTAAGGCAGTCAAAATGTGCTCAAATTAAGATACATTTTGCCAAATTTGAGCAATATTTGGCTTATTTTTACATCCCTTGTTGCAGTTTAGGCGATTGGTGACTTTATGAGCTTGCAATCCCCTAAACCAGTGTCCCCCAATCTTTTTCAGCCGTGGCACACCTCATTCATTGAAAACAATCGCAGCTGAAACTGAGAGAATGGAGATTAATTCTCATCAAAGTGTGTAAATTAGAAAATCAAACAACCGCAAAAAAGTCTAATCCTCTAATTTCCTTGCCTGGCCTGCCAAACGATATGCTTTTTCAAAGACATATAGTCTGGGAACGAGCTTGATCTCAGCGAATTCCCGGTGGGCGTGGTTGACAGACTGCATCAACCAATTAGATGCACACAGGATATGACGCAGCAACTAGCGGCACCCAAGCCGTTTCAGTAAACACAAAACAAGGGATGGCGGCATGTCAGCTAGTGCAAATGTAAACGACTGCTGTCGATTTTGTAACAAAAACTTAAAGATACGAGGAGTTATTAGCAACTCAAAGGTGAAAGGAAGTCCCGCCTCTCGGTGCGTGATTGGACCGATGTGGGTAAAATCGTGAAATGATAGGCTAGGAAGAGGTGTCCAGACGGTTCTTCTTTTGAACAGAAAGGAGGAGTGTCTGGCAGGCCAGGCAACTAATTTCCTAATCACATTATTTTGACCAATGAGGTGACATTTCCAAAGGCCAATATCTCAAGTCTCACTTAAGTGTCACTGGTTGAAAAACTATACAGACATATATATAACTAAAATAAACATAATAACTGTTTATACATATTTATTTAAATGAGGCTGACACAAGATAAAGATAGAAATCAACAGACAAAAAATAAATAAAAATGAGGGACTGACTTTGAAACCACAAAAAAAAAAACACGTAAAACTACATTATAGTCTATATCGTTTAAACAGCATTTTCATGTCAAGTTCATCACGTCACCCAGAAGGTCCTGGGTTCGAAACCCGGTCGGAACAGGGCCTTTCTGAGTCGACTTTGAATGTTCTCTCCGTGTCTGCGTAGGTTTCCTCCGGGTGCTCCGATTTCCCCTACCACTGAAAAGGTCTGGGCTCCTGTACATGGTGACCCCACTCCCATATTTGTGTGGAGTGAGAGGATTAATGCCCACAATTATAAACCGCTTTGTGACTTTGGTCTGTGAAAGGCGGTATATAAATAAAGATTACTTACTTACATAAGTTTCCTCCAGGTGCTCCGGTTTCCCCTACCACTAGAAACACATTGTACATTAGTCCCTTAGAACATGAACTCTCTCCCTGACCCCAGCTTCATGCTTCTGTTTGCAATGTGTGGGTCTCTTTTACAAAATATCATATCAGCAAACAAAAATAAAAGTTGAATAAAATATAATAAAACTCACACAAATATACTACACACAAATCAATGACTGTAACTGATCAAAAAAATCTATATTTATCCAAAATCCATATTATCAGCACATCCCTACTATTATAATACTACAGCACAGAATTGATATAGAAATTTGCTGCCACCTCCCATTGTGCATAACATTTGCACCGTTAAAGATGCACAACAGTTCACATTTCTACACACTATTTTGATACAACACACATTTCTCCATTCTGTTTATCTCGCATCAACATAATTCAATTCGACAATAATCATATTCTAAAACGAAAGCGTATTTATGAAAAGCTTTTGCATTTTGTCAGTGGATGCCAGACCTTGCGACAAGAGCAAAGTCAGTCCGTGTCTTACAGGGTAAAGGCTCGGAGCTCTCTCCAATCAATAGTTATCATCGTAAAAAAGCACAGTTACCTGGAGCTAGGGTCGTCCCAAATGTCTGAGGACACAGGGACACGACAACAAAACCTATTCCGTTCTATTATTAGGCTCCACATGCGTCTATTTATGGCGTCTTTATGTACATCCGACTTTTAAACTATAGAACCATGGAATTGACTCAAATGTTATCCAGAATTGTGACACATATAAAACAAATGGTATTTATAAAACCAAAAGAAGAGTTTGGTTACTCCATCTGTAATCAGCGACTCTGCATTTCCGTCTGATTTATTTGGATATTTTGGAGAGTGATGAGTATTTGCGACTTGAGCACGTGTTGTATATCGGGCCTCAGGGAAAGCACATGTCCAAAGCCCAAATGCCCGGGTCTTTCCAGCAGCATTCCCCCCGTGCTCTGTATTTACTCTGCTACATCTCCTCTGTGTGACGCAGAGGCTGAGCTCCGGGTCCCAGAGAGCTGTCGGCCCATCCCGCTCATTCTAACAGAAAAACAGCTCTAAATGCAGACATGTATTGCGTTCGAAATGTAGATATACACAAACCCACGTTCAGGCTTTTGGGTGGTTGGAGAATACTTTTATAAAAAATGCATGAACCTAAATGTCTAATGTATTATGTGTGTGATCTATATGTATTCTCACTGCCCCTTCTTTTTTTTGTTTGTATGATTTCTTCCTCCCTACCATCCTGTACCCCCAGCTTCCCCTCCCCTCTATGATAAAGACAAGCACAATATTTCAGTCATAAAAAATTAAAATAACATGAACTTTGAGAAAAATTGTTGGTTCCTCCACATCTTTACTCGCTTAGAGAAATGATTTCAAATAATCAATTTGTGAAATATAAATCTTGGTGTGGAAAATGGAAAATATATACCACCAGAGGGAGGAATTTAATTTGTTCTAGCATTTATTATTATTATATCTTTTTTATCAAATTCTAATATGTCTGTCTGCAAACACTGCATCTCAGGGGTGTCCAAACCTTTTACTAAGAAGGTCACTTTAGTTCATCAGACTAGACCTGAGGCCGACAACCTGGATTAAAGAAACTGGATTCAAGCCGGATTGACTGGATTCTGGAATTTATAATGGGTTATGATACGTCCACTGATTCACACCACAGCTGCATTTTATGTCAGATTGTTGGGACACAATTATAAAACAAATGTCAGTACATAACAATAGAGTCAACAACTGGATTCCAGAGGGTCTGAGCATGACTGTATTGGTGGAGCTGAAGTTGGTTGGATGACACAATGGCGACTTTGTGTAAGCAGCAGAGGGGCCGCATAAACTGGCACAAAGGGCCATAATTGTCCCGCGGGCCTGAGTTTGGACATACCTGATCCAAGTGAACCAGACGGGGTCCAGTTAAAGTGATACAGGGCGGAGTAACACATACATATGAACACAGCTAATGTCGGGACAATACTCTCAATACTTTTGTTTTAAAAGGCAGAAGAGGGTGATGTCATCGTGGTGCAATGACATCATACATACAGGACTGAGACAGGAGCTTTCAGACAGAAGACAGACCTTTACATATTTGTTTCAAAAGATGTAAACAAACTAGTGGATGCATGGTCACTTGCTGGATGGCTTTAAAAGTACAAACTAAGCATGTTAGCATTGAACTTGTATATCTGTCTGCTATGTTGATTTTTGCGATGATGATGATTGTGTAAGTTAGAAATCAATATTATCTATCTAAGTTAAAAAACCATAAGATAGGATGACCTTGATGGGAGGCACGGTGGCTGAGCGGATAGCACTCTTGCCTCTCAGCAAGAAGGTCCTGGTTCGAATCACGGTCGGAACAGGGCCTTTCTGAGTGGAGTTTGCATGTTCTCCCTGTGTATGCGTAGGTTTCCTCCGGGTGCTCCGGGTTCCCTTACCACTAAAAACATGCACAATAGGTATGAATGTAAATGAGAGAGTGAATGGATGGTGTTGGTTGGGGGCTGATGGTCCAGTGTGTTTGGCGACTCGCTTCTGTCATCACCCTGTGTGGAATGATTGGAACAATATCTGAACTCTGAACATTGTAAAGCGCTTTGGGTGACCTTGGTCTGTAAAATGCACTACATTAAAAAACGTTACTTACGTACATTACTACTACCACTACTTGATATGTAGTTGCAGCACACATACAGGACAGTATTAAGAGCACACAAAATAAACAATTTGCACTTCCTATCTAACTGTATATGCTTCATAAGAGCAGCAAGTAAATATCAGTACATCTATATCTACTGAATAGTGTAAATTACTGTACATACATACACATGGCACCGGAAAAGTGGCGGCCGCAGAGCTCTGGAGTGTGCTATCTGATGCAAACTGGGGTCTTGCACAGTTTTTCCAATGTGGTTTTACTGCAAATTGCAAAAAAAATCTTGAATCTTGAATACCTGTCAGGATAATAAGCAAATATATAGTAGATAAAATCCCACTTGTTTTGTTCCCACTGTTACTCCTAACTTGGTGGTGGTTGAGATAATATCCTCCACATGTTAGATTTGAATCCCTGTAACTTCCAGGTGTATAGTTTAGTTGCATAAATCTCCTTGAACCTGACGGCACCACTTTGCTTTTGTGAAATTCCTCTGTGACATGAATCTTTGATGAGACGCATGTCGTACACATCTGGTTGTTGGATGTTCCTGCACAGATGAACACTTCTCATCATCCTGATCAAACTGCATCGATCAAACAGACTTTATTTTTAAACCTGTCTATTGCTGATTTGGACACGAGCCTGAAGCCAACTGTTAAATATTTTGACGGAGAGAAGACAGAAAGCA